ACAATATTAAGAGCGAACGACAGACCTAAGAAAAGCAGCTCCCAAAAACTACAAATTTCTGAACTATTAACAGGACAACAGTCAAATGCTACAATTTCTAAATTGCATGTAAGTATTTGACATAATTATGTAAGTAGGTATTTCAGCCTCAAATGGCTTAGGTACGTATTTTTCGGAGTGTTCGGTATACACATAACCCCATTTTGACGCTACTTTTACTGTTGTACATATATCATATCAATACAATTCCAAAATCCAATCCACCAATTCAATTCAATATCTCAGATCCAAAGTTTTGTACGGAAACAATAACCAACGAGGTTACATTTTAATCAAAGGGTACTAGCAGGTATAAACTTCTGTAACTGGGTAAAATTCTAGGTTCAGAATCCAGATTGATCCAATCGGAGCCGTGTAGCATTCAAAAACTCGCAGCTACCTAGGTATGTAGGCATCGAGGTATGAATGCGAACTACGGCAAAGCCTGGGGGCCTAAATTGAAAAGCATCATCGGTTTTACGTACATACAACGACCGAGATACCTGTTCCCTTTGTTTCCAATAAAATTGTACAAATCCTAAAATACTGGATGAAAAATCAAGAAGGATTATTTCTGTCCAACCTGTTACTTTCTGCAAATGAAATTAAACTTAAAAATACTTTATTCCATGAATTTATTGAAATAAGTAAATGAACTAAACATTTTAAAAGTGAATGTTTTTCCATTTCGGTTTTAAAAATATACAGCAAATAAAAATTGAACCGACATTTAGGCGGATAGCGATTTTTTTCAGTAATTAACTGGAACTGTTGGCTGGTCACTGAAATCTCTCCACTAGTTATCTTTATTTACAGTTACAAAAACTACGGACGTTATCCATTTTAAAATATTTATCTAGTTGTCATAGCCATACAGTGAAATTATCCAATGATATTAATTGTTAGGTAACATGACATAACATAACATCATGCCTTTTATCCCCGAAGGGATAGGCAGAGGTGCACATTATACCACTGTACAATGTAACACCCACTTTTCACTATTTATGTTATGAGTCCCATGTAATAGGGGGTGAGCCTATTGCCATATACCGGGTACAATTCCAGACACCGTGCTACTACTGAGATTTTTTTTAAACCCAGTAATACTTTGCCCGACCCGGGAATCGAACCCGATACCCCTTGCCCAGTCGCAACCACTCGGCCAACGAGGCAATAGGTAACATAAATGTTTAGTATAAAGTTTGTAAGAATTTAGAAGTGACGCATTAGTCTTTGGAGGCTTTTATTTCTTACCTTAGAATATTTAAATTCTTTTTCGGCGACAAAATTAGGCGTCCCTTAAAAGCCACGGGCGCGAACGCAAATCCGATTTGAGTAATGAAACGAGACTAATTAAAAAGTCGTAAGAACAATTATGAAAAAACAGGGCTTTATCTGAGAAGCTGTTTGTATTTTGGGTTCTCCAGGCGTATAATGAAAAACGCAACGCTTGTGTCAGCATTGATTAGTGTATTCAAGTGCCCGTGAGCTTTAACCACAAAGTACTGAGGACGAAATATTATTTTAGTGACGTGGTACAGGTATCAGCTATTCTATTCTGTAACTGTCAATTGGAACTTTCGAAGTGAGCTTTATCGCATTCTCGCCCATCATTGGTTGAGATTTTTCTTACAACCAATGACATGGCGAACCGTTGTCGAGTTCACTTACCTTTCGAATTGAAAGTTACAGATTAACCTAGCAGTACGTGGTTGCCTCTGTGCCACCAGGCCATACCTAGTTTGTCCATTACACTCGAGTCGAACGTAGGCAACATTATGTCCAATGTCCATACTACAAACTAGGTACCTCCATTTTGAAAAAAAAAATGTTAGCTATGGAACTCAGGGTAAAAATCTTACTCGTTCTTGACCATGATATTTGTGACTTATAATGCCTTTGAAGTAGGTGTTGGAAGTCCAGATTTTCATACTTAAGTTCTTAGTCATTTGTTTAGGCGGCAACAAATTTATGATCGCTCGGCATTGACTGCACGGTTGGTGCGGTAGCTGGGCAACCGGCTGCCGAGCAACGTGTCGCGGGTTCGATTCCCGCACGGAACAACACTTTGTGTGATCCACAAATTGTTGTTTCGGGTCTGGGTGTCATTGTGTATGTGAACATGTATGTTTGTAAACGCATCCACGACACAGGAGAAAACCCTAGTGTGGCGCAAAGTTAAACAGAAAATTAACAAAAAAAATATTAACCACTGCTCTCGATTTCAAATGTCAGAAAATACCTAAGTACAATAGATTAACACCACCAGTTTGTTTGGTATTCTACATATATCAAAGGCGTAGGTACTGGAACAGTAGATAATCGTCATTCAATCCTACTACAACCAACCATAATAATAGCCGTATAGCCAATAGGACGTATAGCCAATTACATATTAGGCACCTACTTAATTCCGGGCGGAAGACTAACCCTTCCCTTGGGGAACTAGCGTGCTAATACAAGGAGGATATAAACCAACAAAGCAGGTTCGAGCTCATGCGTGATTTTATGTCGTGACCTTACTGAATCGACGACCCGTCGACGAATTACAGTTGAACAAGGAAGCTATAAACGCAAAGCCTTTCAAAGCCGACTCACGAAAGGTGCGTGCGTTAGATCGCGTGTAGCCGGGCCTTTACGTAAATGCCGCCTATAACAATATAACTTGTTCACCTTGTTTTGATCTTGCTGAATAACTTTCGATCAAAAATCCCCTAACTCATATTATCTATCTACATATTGTTATCTAATTTAATAATATGTCATTTAATGGAGAATTACAACTTTTAGTAGTCGCAAAAATATTTGGTAGTTAGTGTTTTTGGTTGAATGGTTTATCAACACAGAAAGATAGATTTATTATGCCATAATAGAATAGAATAATTTATAGGTATTTAGTTAGTTCCTTCGATGATAAGAAACTATGAAACTAAAAAGTTCCTTGGAAAAATAACATTTGAATACCGTAAATAACACGTTCCATGATTTATACACGTAATTATTGAAATATTGTACCCAGTTTTTATCGTAAAAGTTCGTTTACATGACTAGTCATTACGCTATTTAAACGAACGCAACGGGTATAAATATACAGTAGCATAATATCAGAAAAAATTAGGTAAAGCTTTAAAAAATCCAAAATGGTCGGTAATCGTGGTAATGTACACGAACGTTTGTCACGCAACGGGAACTTTTATGTAACGACTAGTGATTTATTTTATAAAATGAAGTAACAATTTCTGGTTTACCTACGGAGCCACAATTGAAAGTAATAAAATCCATTATGGAGGAAATGATTGATGATCGCCGTGTTATATTGAGTGATTGATAAGACTTCAACCGATTACAGAAGGTGCCGAGTGAGGAACAATATTTTTAGTATAATGTTGCTATTGATACTCTACCCTCAGTTTAATTTTGCTGCATTTCATTCCACAAAATCCTAAAGAAGTTTTTGAGTGTTTAAGTTTTGTGAAAAATGAAATTTTAAAGCTCTGGTAATAAAACCGTGGTTTTTACATCGCAGTTTCAGTTTAAATGAGCATTTTCGTATTGTAGCGTATACCTATAAGGAATTTGCATCTTGGTTTTATACGTACATAACCGCACACCGTCTCCCATAGGGGTTGGTAAACTATGGAACGCCAATTGCTAAGATTCTTACTTTATTTTTGTACTGTGTACTTTTTTTCTTACCTATATAATCGTCAAAAGTACTTTAAATACCAAAATAAAAGGTGGCAACCCTAGTCACCAGTCTTTTCATTCATACTCGTCGGTACTAAGATGCAAATATTCTCATGAGGCTGCTTTCATAGTTACTTAGCAGCAGTTTAGTCGTATTTATGCCTAAATTTTTACGAAAGTAAAAACCTAATATGAGGGAACATTTGGATTGATTTTACAAATAAAATAGATTATTCCATCGCTGACGTATAAGGAATGAATGTAAAACAACAGTGTGAAGAAGATCAATAATATTTATTACCTAAATATTATTTTCGTAGGAGAATCTGCACTTACAACTTATCAATACTTAAAAGTTAAACATTATAGCTAAATCTTAATACAATCTTAAAAGTTCTGCTCAAATTTTGTATTATGCGGTTCACAAAAATAGCTTCCTCATTTTAACATTTTGTTACAAAAATATTTAAAGTAAGTCTTAAATTTTAATACTTCCACAATTAATTACAATTTATATACGAAAATACGAACTGACAAAATTGAACACGATTTATAATAAATAATATCACATGTATCTTCAGAAAGTGTCACACATTATTACACGCTCTCAGAGAATTCATTCAAGTACAAAATAATAATACCGACTATTACTAAGATGTATGAGTCACATGATGTTGTTTTATTAAGTTGTTATTCTTATTTATGAAGGGCATATCAACTTTAATTACATACAATATCAACGATTTTAATGTTTATGTATCTCTCTTGTTGTTTTATGAACATAATTATGGAAAAATAATGAAAATATCGGATGAACTAGGACAGCAACTATATCGTATGAACAATTCTTAACAAAGAAGTATTCTACAGTTAAGAGGTACGCCTAATTTTAATGGAATACATCAATATTGTTCAATATAATAAATTGTTAGAAAATTAAGGTAACCCAGTTAATAACCTACACTAAATCTATTTCCCGATACAAATATAGACTGTAATTATATTGAACTTACTGCTGCTTATCGTATAAAATTGATATTCGCCGAACTACTTTGAACCACATGACAAAACCCTGTAGTAAACTTAAGTCACAAGAACATATGGTTATCAGAAAACTGTTCTGCATAACTTGACATTCCCCGTGGGGTTCGTACGCTATTGTGCGTCATGACACGTGTACAGAAACGTGTATAATATATTCCTTATAAGCTTAGACCTACGCAATAAATGTGTCCATTATACAGCGTAACTCTGCAGCATTATAGTAGTATTCACATGGAAGTGGGCGACCAGAAATTCATTTCGCGTAGTTCTGACGGTTTGGGACGATAAGTAGTAGGTTTCGCGGGCTTGGTTGCCTGGGCCACTGGTTCTTGTGGTACATTATTGAGAGTTTCTTTCCTCTTAGGTGCTGGGCCAAGATTTTCCACTGATTCCGCGAGGTTTCCGCGTGAAACAGAGAGTACGTCAAAGCTGTCTTCCTCTGCTAACGTGGAGGTTGACGTGGCGAGGTCTTTCTTCAATCCCAGGAGGGCCATAGACAACCACGAACGTGGCGCATTCCCATCCTCCACTGGTTCGTACGGCGACGTGAAGAAACTGTAACAAAACAAATAATTGTGTTATTTTGGTTGCCGTATTAATGGAGGTTAATCGTATACTAATGGAAGTAACCCATTAATAGAAGATATAATAGTGATTAGTGATTAGTGTTGGCCTTTGTTTATCATATTATTGATCAGATTTGTTTCTGATTACACACAAAAAAAATATTTTATCAGTTCATTTGCCAATGTATTACTAATGTCACAATTCTTTTAATAAAATGTAATGTTGTTTATTGATCTAAGTTTAAAAAAGAGCAACAACTGCTTCTCACCATAAGAGGTAGTCTCTAAAATACTCTGATAGCTGACAGCTGACCTACTTACAAACAACTCCTCAAGATATTTCGTTGTTAAAGTATGCCATTGTCAGACTAGATAAGCCATGATTTTTATCACCTTCGGTTCAACTTGACGTTGATACCATAGGGCTTAAAATGGCAAAAATATTACGATTGATTTTAAAGTGCATGCGATATGAAAATGAAGCGCAGTATCCGACACGTTATTTGTTTCGTAATAGTCTTATCTCTGAATTGAATTCTACGAGTACATTCGCATGCGAAATTCATCACTAAAAGTCGACATAACCTTGAAAGTAATCAGATAACAAACAATCGAGAATTGTAAAGTTCATAGGACATGTACTCCGACAAGACAGAGTAAACAGATATATTTCTGCAGATATAAATTTGGTATCCAAGTGTACAAAATTCCGAACTGGCGAAAACCGGTTCTATCTAGACCTAGACGGTATACAATAATTAACATAACCAGAACAACAGCTAGGATGTATTGGAATAAGACACTTGAAAAATATCCTGTATAAAAAACATTGTCATTTAACTGGCCTTCAATCTAAATACCAACAAATTAGAATGGAAAGCTACATTTAAAATGACTTTTTAATATCTAATAAGCTCTACTCTTCAAGACATCATAGCCAATTATATTTTCTGATTCCTTTTTTTATTGTAGGTTCAGTAGTAGAAAATTTGTAGCATATGTGTTTGTTTGCAAACGCAAATTTGTTTTGTATTATTGGTCCATCGTTTCTGGTGAATAGCATTTCTAAAGAAGACAGTGCATTATAAGCTTTAAAGTATGATATAGGTAGTAGGTACATACCGATTGCCGTTCATCCTCCTACGGCTTGTTGGGCTGCCTGGCGGTGAGTGTGCAGGAGTAGCGGGCAGGCTCTTACTGCCTCGGCGGTGCATCAAGTTGTACTGGTGCAGGTCGGGAGCTACGGCGTGGTCCTCCTCGGGCGATGCCACTGTGAACCCTCGCGACGACTTCGAAGATATGATCTGATGTGCTACCTAAAAATGGATGATGAAAATTGTTTAGTTATACAATAATAGATCTTATTGGTTTGAACTTTTTTTACATCAATGTTACTAATACTCGCTCTACTACGATTTTCGTACTTATATCTTAGGCGTTTAAGTTGGGTATCTAATTCTTTCGAATTTTTTTAAAGAAGTCTTTGAAAAAAGTGGACTAAGAATAAAGATAACAGTTAAAACAGGTATCGAGTGAATGCATGTCACTCAATACAAAACAAAGCATCATGTTATTAGACAACTTGCATGAGTGATGCTAGAGTGAAATAGGGACCACAAAGATGAGAATATTTCGCACCCTATGCGCGTAGTGTTTAAGATTATATGATAGTGCTATCTTCACAAAATAAACACGCAGTCATGTTTACTTGTTAGCGCAACGCTACGCCATAGTTTAATTTACATAGTGTAAATAAGCAAATCAAAACTGATCAGTTACAAAATGATGTAACAACTGCGAATATTACTACGACTAAATAAGTGGGTGGCTGATAAGAGCTAATTAAAAACATATTCGTTGCTAATCACTAGCACAGGACGAGTTATCAAACTGTTCGCGCGATACGAAGAGGTGCACGGACCCGACAGATTAAAATATTATCAACGCGAAAGTTGACAAAGTTGTGCCTGTGTACTGCGTTTTATCAAACAAAATATCACATGCACAAACATCCGTGTAAGCCGTGCAATATTTTCTTTCCAGTAACTAGTTGTGGCGTCAGGGTGTAAACTAAATAGCTAATCATGAAAGTCAACAAACTACAGATAACAGTCATGTTGACTCGGAATTTCCAACTTGTACACATCATAATAATGGAGGCTTAAGTCGGTCCCACTTAGTGTTTGTGCAAAATACTCGAATTATTATTGCGAATTTTCAATAAAAACAACAATGAGTCAATGTCCATACCAATACAAAATGATTTAAAAATAAACCAATAAATATTATGCATTTTGTATTGCCCAAATGTAACGAATATTTGTATAAATACGTCACAATATCTGCCGCTTGGCTATTGGCTACATACCTTGACAATCGAGTTGCCGCAAGCCGCGCCCTCGCCTTTGAAACCGTCGTCTGTCCCCGCAGGCTTTGGCTTTGAAGTAACAGAGTTAACTGAAAATAACCAAACACAATCAATACCATTTATAATGCAGGGTGCTATTACTAATATTACATTGTGTCCCTTCTACTATGTACGAAATGAGAGCACTTAATGGAGTCACCATTGTCTAAGAAAGTCATTACTTATGACATCATTACCAAATGAGTACATTACTATGAGTCTTGCCACATGACTAATAAACGATATTAGTAAATGTAATTGGCCCCACGTCGAATATTTTAATTAACTAATATTTTTCATAATTCACAACGATTTTACTAATCACCCGATTCCATTTAAACACACGTGTGCCATTTACCGGGCAATGTCAATGTCACGCAATAACCTTTTGAAATACAAAGTGGTCTTACCTGCTGTGTTGATTGGTGCAATGCCGTGGAGCACGTCTTGGCACGGTTTCGTATGCTTCGACCAGTCTTTCTCCTTGATTATGTTAAAAGCTGAGGCGGCTTTAACTTCGTTCGTTGGTTCAGCGAACACCTTTGGAGCGTCTTGATTGATCCTCGGCTTTCCAAACAATACGTCGGTTCTGGGGTACCGGATGTAGAAGAATGAGTCCTCTGGAGCTGGCGGCGATCCCGCGAAAGGTTCAAACTCCCTGCAAATAAAACAATTATGGATTAGTGCTATATACAACATCACTCATCGATTAGATAACTAATAAGAATTGTACCATAACAAACATGTTATAATACAACAATAGATAGTTATTGTTTAACAGTTAGATACTATTGTCGGTCAATCTGAAGGTAAGGCGTCGACACTCACGATAAGATGTTGTTGAACTGAGCCACCATATTCCTCTTTTTGTACATTGTTAAAAATTATTATATTATTTGTATTAAACTGGCTGTTAACCCACACAACACTTGCTACGATATCACAGAGTTGTAAAGTAAATTATCACAGAAAAACTTTTAAATCAAGAGATGTCGTTATTCAGACAATAACAAAATAACTAAAAGGCTACACTCGAGTTTTCCTTTTTATATACCCTAGAGATAGCACATGAGTTCACGATAAGCACACAGCGACTGCCTACGTCACTTTGAAAATAAGTGTAATAAATAACAAGTCGACGTGACGCCACGATAAAAGTAACCAATGAGAACGACTGATTAGCGCACTCCCTCTTTTAAAAGAACGTTATTATCATGGAGAATGGCGTTGTGTAGCTGTCGATGCGAGTACCAGAATCTAAGAATAGCACAGTTCGTAGCTACGTACACACACACCAACACCTACGTATGAAATGTTGATCTTGTGTAGATTTCTACGAATCGAGTTTTCATGACGATGTCATTAACATTTTAACGCAAAGAATACGAAAGACAACTTAAAATAGAAGTGGGCACGGCACGATAGTGACGCTAGCCAATATCCGGAACTCAGACACAAATCTGTAATTTTTTGATACAAGCAGACATATCTGCTTCAGTCTCAATCATAACTGAAGAAGACATTTAGGTAGATATATAATACAATTTTTGGGGTTACAATAATAAGATTTTCCTCACAACATTTTAATATGTCAATGAACCTTTGATTGTCAACCTTTGCCAAAATGCGCAGGGCCTCTCGCCAATAAAGGCTAAAATACAACACCAAATATTTAGTTCACAGGCCGACAACTTTGTTCAATGTAACGATAAACTAAGAAAATATACAAAAAACATTGTCTCAATAATGATAACGTAAAATCATAACAAAAAATATTAAGTATACGATAATATAATTTAGTACAAATCTAGTGGCTGTAAAAAAGGCAATCTATCTCCATAACAAAGTTATTATAACATAAAAACAGATAACGCTATACGTGTGGGCAAGATTACGAGAATAATTAGGTATATAATGTCTTAAAAACATTGACATTGCGATTGAGAAGTCAATGGAATGAATTAAATAGTCTTGGGGATCGGAATGTTGGGCTATCGACTAGGTCCCGTCTGTACATATTGAGCGCAGATTTAGCTTATTTAAGTTAAATACAATATATACCTTTTGTATATATATTTTCCTTTTGTCACAGTAATCATATGACACTGGCTGTAGTAATACGATTATAGTATTATAAACTTGTAGTTAAGACAAATGGCTAGTCCAGGTAATCTCAAAACAGCATAGGTCTTACAAAATCAAAAAGTATAATGATGATAAGCCTTTTCATTTTGTGATAATCATAGAAAATAAACAGCTTTTCTTTTCTCAATAAATCATTGTACCTATCGGACAAACCCTGATCATGATAACGATAATATATTTATATTTTAGTGACAATGACAAAAAGTATGACATCATGTACAACCGCACGTACAAGTGAATGAAATGTAAATTCTCAAATGAAATTCTGCAAAGCATATCAAAAACTGTGACTGTGGCCATTCCTCAAGTTCGACTAAGGAATGAGATAAACTTTAGCTCATCTCTTAGTCGTAGAATTATCTGACATATTGTTAAGCTGCTGAACAATAAATGCTTGGCACCATTAGAGCGCACAAGCGACATCTACTATAAAAACAATCACTGTACGAATAAAAACATGCTTTTCTTTGATTTCACAGCATCGAAAGACTATCAAAAGTCTGTGATATTTGTAAACAGGCTATGTATGTTTACAAAATAATATTCGTGATTAACTTTTCATTGAACAAGATTTTCTCTTGACCTTTTCCCAAATAGATTGAGGTCGGCATCAGTGTCGAGTCTTAATCTGATTCGATTGAATGTCTCATTACGACATTTATGTTTAGTTTTTAACTACTCGCAACAACTAACACAAATGTTAGAATGGGTCGTGTAAAGGTAAGGTTAACCTTAGCCCAGTCTACGCCTTCTGGCCACTGGCATTGGAAAATTGTGCAACCGATAAAAATGCCTGCATAATTTGAATAAAATATTTTTCCCATAATTACTCAAAGTGCGTGCTGAACAGTTTATAAACTTCATTTAAGTGTCGCTTCGTGGAATATTTCCGATATTGCAACAAACATAATATTTATAATCATGTACTTGCTATATTACGGACACTGACTGCAATGCAATAATAACAATCTTATAATTTGCGGAACAAATAGGGGACTTGAGCATTACATCGCTAAAACGAGAATTTTCAGTCACTTTTGTGTTTGAATGTACTAACCACCTGCACGTAACATAAGGCGACATATCGAAGAGATTGATCGTGTCACGTCACAACTATTTACAATACCTTACAAAATATTTACTGATATGCTAGAAACCAAATAACATGGATTTCTTGGTGACGTTAAAATGTAATTTTGCAATAAGAATTAACGAAGCATTTAACTAATTGCAGGTTTAATGAGCAGGGGGTTATGGACATGACAAGTTGACTTTACAAGGAACTTAAACGTATTTGTTTACGTGTGCCTTTATACTGTTGACTACATTCACGTTGACCTCACAGCCATTGACTCCAGTGTTTGTAAAACAAATTTCCGACGTTTTGTTATGAACTTCTATTGATTTTATAATGAAAATAGATGAAGTGACGTCAATGCAAAGTTGTACCTTCTATTTATTTCTAAATAAGTGTTAAATATTCTAGCTACTTACTTTGTTGTGCACACACAATACAATAACAAAGATAAGTTATTCAAATAATGCAGGTGCATAGGTACCTATGTCCGACGATCAGGTTCATATTATTCATGTAGATTTGATAGGAGTGTTAAAATTAAATAAAATATAATTAAAATCTTATTAACATTGAACATGTGATTTATCCTTAGGTTTGTCATTTTAATTCAATATTCTGTGTTTTCATCATTTCCACGCACACGCATTTGTTCGGAAACCTCCCTTAATTTTTATTATAATAAATAAATAATGATATCATTCGAGAACATTGCTTCGACTATATTTTCTACTAATAGAGTAACAAAAACTAAAAGTTATTGATTGTGTTTTTATTAGGTTTTTATCGACATCCTTGACGACATTTAATTATTGTATTTTCTCTATCCGTAACGAATGCAGGGCAGTTAAAAACTGTTATTGCAATTATACCAGTACCAATCCAGAAATATTTTTTTTGTTGTACCTGGTACCTGTGTGACACTGAATCAAGTTTTTTTGTGCTACAACGGCATAGGTCAACCAGGACAAGTCGCAAACACAAACAAGTGAAACAGGTATGTCAGTGACGTCGAGACAAGCCCCCGCGCCAACCAGGTATTATTAAGAAATCAAAACAAGTTATTGCTATAAGCAGAGGTGCTAACATTTATGCAAATAATCGTGTCTCAGCAATCTGTGATCAACGATGACGAGAACTAAACAACTAAACATACTGATTAGATAACTGCAGAATATTCTTCACATTTTAGTCATTATTTAAAAGAAAGTGACGCTAACAAAATTACCAATGCAACTACATTAAAATGTTACGACATACAACTTGATGTTATAAGTAATTAAACATGGATTTATGTTACACGCGAAGGGCATTCATTGGTCATAGTATACGTAGCTAAGTACTTAAGAAATCTTCGACCTCAAGTTTGTTTTATTCCAGACAATGAAACATGTACAGTTAACATAAAACATTAATAATGTTATCAAATGTGTTTAGTTGTGAAACCTTTGTCGAATAGTACCTATAATAGCAGTAGCACTCGATAGCAAAGAATTCGATTTTTAAGCTATTTATAGAACACATTGACGACGACGATAACAAACGCTGTAAACAAGGGATTTCCTGGTGCCGTCGAATGTAAGAGACATGTAGTAGTTTGTAGCATTATGATTGTTTATTGAATATACAAATGCTATTTTGTGGCATATTTCTGACTACAATACATATATTTAACTAAATTTTCACACCAGACTTTTAGTCTTGGTGGATTGCCAAGTCTAATTTTAACAGACTAGGTACCTTTCTGATCCTGTATCTGTAATTTAATAAAGCTGAAGTTTGTTTAGTTGAATGTAATATTAACGCTTATCTGGACAAAACAGTTTTAGATGAATTTTTAAGTCATTGGAGATCTACGCGATGTATTTTGTGTGTCTCTATCAGATATAATTCATCACATCTCAAACTCCTATTTCTTTTATTGAATCTGTCCATCGTTTTAATTAGATGTAATACTAATTTAATTTTGTAGAAAGCAATCTCATTTTAATATGTCTGTGTGACGTCATATCTTATCACTTACCACGGCTGCCACACATTCAACTACACGCGCTTGGAAACAGTTAAGCTCCTTAAAGAAATTACGAAATATACGAATTTATACTTTTATCAATGGGCAATCGCAGATTTGGACTATTTGGGTTTATTGTGATATATCGCTGCATGTGATTACTTTTTAAAAGATTAAAATTATAATAAATTATTTGACAGTACAATTTTACAAAAGTACATTGAATTTTATTGTTGTATTACTAAATGAATAAGAACATTCTTTGTACAACAGAACTAATAGAAAAACTTATATAGAAATGCAAGGCTTTGGCTAAGAATTAAGAATATTTCTACAGTGTTCTAGGAATGTTTATAAGCTACATGCACGTGTTCCGACCGCAAGACCGGTTCGCGCAAAACATACACGAGAATGTAATCTTATTTCTAAGGCAATAGAACATTCTCTTAATTACCCAGGAAAACTATTTAAAGCGTGCCAAATACGCAGTTGTGCATTCATTATAATAATATATTATAATCTATTTTAGTTTAGTTATTGCATACACTTTAGAGTCTAAAAACAATAAAAACTAAGTTCTAAAGACACATAATTATAGCAAACAAAACAAAACTTCAATATAAATGTTAACTACAATTATTTAACTAAGCAAAAACTTCACAATAATATTAACACTCTGCCAAAATGGCATAAAATCAACAAGATGTTAGTCAACAACATTCATTATCCATTCCTAATCCATTGCACTCAAGAATAAAGTGCTTTGGCATAGTGTTTATATTCTGTGAACATTCATTTTATGGTTCATTATTCGAAATAATTCCTGACTGATTTTCTAATGCAATTCTTTAGAAAAGAAGCCTGTAGTAACTTAATTATGAAACGGATATTAAATTACACAAAGTACTCACTTGGCTGGTTTAGTTTTCATCCAAGCAGGAAGTGTGAATCCATCCTTAATCTCAGGGTCACTTGACGCCATTATAATGTCAGTATAATAAAAAAGGGGCAAACGCAAATAAATTCACTTAACTACTGAGAATAAAAAGACAACTGTCTTGAACATAGACTATAAACTGAATGATGTTTTATCTTGAGCAGAAATGATAAGATTGTTTCAGTTGGCAATAACATGCGACAACATCATGAAACAAGAAAAAAATTGAAGATTTTGCTTTAATAATAATAACAAGAAATTATTAAACTAAATGAATTAACTAAGTAGTGCTCAAGACACCTGGGGTTCACTAGACTTCATTAAAAGAGAAGATGAAGCCATCTGAAACAAAAATGGCATCTTTTTACCCAACTGTAGTTATTTCAATATTTAAGATTGTTAATTACTTAGTTATAGTGTTAAATTAATATGTTAAAAAATTACCACATGATGATTTAGAAGAATTAAATGAAAGAGTCTTGTAGCATGTTATTTTTTCAAACCACACAAAATCAATATTATATTGTTTTAGTTAAACACACCTTGGCCTGGATACACAGAACTCACTAGCTAGAGTGACACAGATGAGTGTGAACATGTGACTAAGTTCAGTATACATTACATTTTCCTTGTAAATTGTTTGTCAGCACTGCTTTTTTATGGCTATCAAAGTATCAATATAATCCCACTCATTATTTAGTCACATACAAAACAGAACTGAATCAAACAACAATAAAAGTACTATGTGTAACGAATAGCTTGTAAGTTAGACATCGGACAGTCTAAAATGTTGGGCATCATTTATATTTACAAACAACCTGCTCCAGCACAATAGACAATACAATTTTAGTAATGAACCAAATAAACAGTTTTTATTTAAACCTATCTTTTTTTTTTTTTTTTTTTTTTTCTATCGCGATGGAAATCCTCATGGACTTCCCGCGTCGTGGGGACGACGAGGGGGCGTGCCGGACTCTTACCGGCTAAAACCACCGCGGTGTTCCTTCACTGCCTGTGACCGTGACCCGGGTTGCCCTTACGGAATCACCACATCCGGCAGGCTTCAATCTACCGCTATGTTTGCGGCAGGTCCCGCCACTTTAGCGGCCCTAGGAGGCTGCTTCCCTTCTTCGAGTAGCGCGCGTGGAACACTACGCTACCGCCTACTCCCGCCTATATAGCGAACGTCTGACTCCCCCGGTCAGTCGCCCGCAGGCCTCTCCTCTCATGGAGGTCGCAGATCGGCTGCCGCTTCACGGCGCTAACGACCGGCGCGTCTACGGCGAGAGGGGAGAGAACTTGACGCCTCTCTCTCCCTTTCAGCCGCTTCCTTTCCCAACATGACTTGTTCACAGAAGGAAGCGACTCCGTCCCATGCGCTCTCGCTGTCGACCATAGCTCGTACCACAGTCGACAGCGACAGGTTACTCCCGCCGAGTACTGCAAAGAGTTCACGACGCGGCTCTGCCCATGCAGTACACTCTTCGAGCGTGTGCCGCGCCGTATCCTCCAAACCACCATCACAGTGATGACACGCCGATGTCTGCTCCCGGCCTATGCGACACAAGTACTTTCCAAAGCAGCCATGTCCGGTAAGTACCTGCGTCAACCGGAAGCTTAGGACACCATGTCCTCTTTCGATCCACGCCTCCATGACGGGACTTACCGCCGCTATAATGGCGTGCCCTGCGCTAGGTTGCGCAAGTCGTGTCTTCCACTCCACCATCACATCACGACGGAGTTCTATTCGCCGCGCCTCGAGAACTCGAGGTGGATATCGCTCACCGCGGGCATTCAGCTCCCCGCGCCACCTGTATAGTGACGCGAGAGCCTTTGCTTCCAAGTCCCAGGGTGGAGATCCCGCTAAGAGGCTGGCAGCCTCGAAAGAGATCGTGCGGTAACCCCTTATCACTCTGACGGCCATTGCGCGCTGCGGACTTCGTAGTAAGGCGACGTTGGGCGCCGTCAGTCCATCCGCCCAAACCGGTGACCCGTAAAGGGCCATTGACCGCACAATCCCCATGTATAACCACCGACAGGATGAATTAGGGTTCCCCAAGTTGGGAAGCAAACGCGAAAGCGCCGCTGCCGCACCCCTAAGTTTGGGGACCAGTTGCCGAAGGTGGGGTCCGAAGTCCCATCGACTGTCAAGGACCAGACCGAGATATTTCATGGTCGAATTTACAGCAATACGAACCCCTCCAACCACAATATGCGAGCCTGCCGGTGGACCCCGCCGAGCCCTATGGAAACAAAGGGCCTCGGATTTATTAAGGGCCACCTCTAGCCCCAAACGCCGGATCCTTGACACAACTTGCGCAACACCTGCTGTTGCTAGTAGCGCAGCGTCCCGGTAACTCTTCCCGCGTGCCATCACCAGCGTATCGTCAGCATAGCAGGTGACTACAACGCCATGGAGAAGAGCACCACGAAGTACCCAGTCATACCCGATGTTCCACAGGAGCGGTCCCAGAACCGATCCCTGTGGAACACCGGTCGATACCTCTCGTCGACCCCATCTCTGAGCACCCGGGTAGATTATCGCTCTCTCCGATAGGTAGGCCTCGACTGTGCGGCGGAGGTAGACAGGCACTCCGTGATAGCGGAGTGCCTCTTTGATACAGCTCCAGGGCAAAGTGTTAAACGCGTTGGCGATGTCTAAAGACACCGCCAAGACCACCTCACCCCGGGACACAGCATTCTTCGCCATAGTCTTTACTCGCATAATGGCATCTACAGTCGAACGCCCCTGACGGAATCCAAACTGGTTGTCCGCCAAATCGGGCCCTTCTGATGAGAGGTGCTGAATGAGGCGGTCAGTAATGATTCGCTCGAACAACTTGCCTACCTCATCCAGCAGCACGATGGGCCGATAGGCGGACGGGGAGTCAGCCGGGCGTCCTGCTTTCCTGATCAGAACCAGTTTTCCGGTTTTCCATCGCTGTGGAAATTGGCCCTGTTCTAAACAAGCACTCAGAAGATTTCGCAGTCGAGGACCAAGAGCCTCCATGGCCAGAACCCATGCCCGACCAGGAATTCCGTCAGGCCCAGGGGCGGTACTCTTGGCCTTGAGTCTGAGCACTGCCGTTTTAAGCTCGGCCTGGGTAACCTCGGGCACTTCGTTGCTACTTTCATCATCTCTTGCGATGGGCGCCGACGGAGGAACCATGGGTGGTGGTGTGTGATCTTCTCCCGCCGGAAATAAGACACTCACAATATTTTGCAGCAACTCCGGCCGCAGACTTTGAGTTAATGGAGGCGCCCAAGGGCGAAGTTTACCCCGCACAGCGAGGTATGGGCGTCCCCATGGGTCCCGATTCAATGCTGCGAGCTGCTGCTCGCGGGCCTCGGCCTTGGCCTGCACAATGGCAATTTTGAGTGCCTTTTTTGCCGCCCTATAGGCGTTATACAGTTCCGCCTCGACAATGTGCGCGTCCGGTGCGCGCCGTCGTCTCCGCCGATATCTGGCATACTGACGCCTAGCGGCCATGCAGGCAGCACGAAGGTGCTCGATGTCTTGTGACCACCAATATACCTGAGAGCGCGCGGGCAGTGTACGCTGTCGAGGCATCGCCGCATCACAAATGTGTGTCATTGCCGCCTGGAACCACTTCGTTTCTGTGTTTATGTCCTCAGGCCTGTCTGCTGCAGACACCCAAGCTTGGATGATGGCGGCTTCACGGAATAATTCCCGCTTGAGCTTCTTCAGCGCCCAACGTGGACCAACTTCAACAGGTGCCGCCGTAGCTGGGCGGACCGAGGTCTGGACAGAGACGTCAAATCGGATGTAGCGATGATCCGACAGCGTTTCTACCTCCTCTAGGACTCGCCAATCCTGAACACGACGCGCTAGGGCGGGGGTAGCAAACGTTAAATCCACTATCGAACCCCCACGCATACGTACGCACGTGTTAATGGAACCTCTGTTGAGTAGGGCTAATCCGCTCTCAATAGCCCACTCCTCGACTTCCCGACCACGAGCGTTGGTAGCTGGTGATCCCCATGCCACTGATTTAGCATTGAAATCACCAAGGACCAACGTAGGACGAGGGTGATTACGACCAACGACAGTGCCCAACTCGGATAAGAAGCTCTCAAATTCAGCGAGAGGTTTGTTTGGAGAGAAGTAAATACCAATAACCACTATCTCTCCAAACAACGCCGCGACGTATCCTCGTCCCTTGACGATTTCTTGAAATGTCGGGGAATATAATGTGGTCCTCGAGATTAAGGTCACCAAACCATCTGCATCGCAAATCCAGTCGTCTCTGGCCGGTACAAACCACGGTTCAGCGACCACCGCAAGATTTATCGACCATTGCGCCATGCTTTGAAGCAGAAGATCTTGAGCTCGAGCGCAGTGGTTAATGTTACTTTGAAGGAAGCGTAGAGCCATTACTGACAATCCATATTTTGTGTCTCCTCAGACTGCTCACTTGCGGCAGCAGCAAGCTGGGTTAGCTCCGTGGGTGCCTTAACTACCGAGGCACCGTGCCCACCCTTCTTTTCCCCCCTCTTCTTGACAGTTTTAGCGCATGTCTTACTGTCGACGCGATGGTCTGCCTGTCTGCCCATTACTTTGCACTTGGGGCAGTGTGGTGGTGCGTCGCAAGTACTGGCTTTATGACCAGGCTTTCCACAGCGGTAGCACAGATCACCAACATTGACGCTGTGAGTGCATTTAACGCCTACGTGTCCTTCTTCCAGACATCTGTAACATCTGCCAGGCCTAGGCTCCAGGATCTTGACCTGCGCCGAGACCCATCCTACTAATACCTTTTGCCCGGAGGCTAACTTCTTTGCTGCAGCAACTGGGCAAGAGATCACTACTGAACGCATTCCTCTACGACCCGGAGATATTTCTCCCAATTTAATTTGGTCAGTTGAGCACTCCCCGGCCCGTGCAACTGCAGCCCGTACTTCATCGGAGGTCACCGAGTCATCTAAACCCGACAATCGCACATTTACGCTAATGCTAGGCCTAGACACTTTGATATCTTCGGATTGCAATGAAGTGCGAAGCTTTTCTGCAAGAGCATCAGCTTTAGGGCCACTAGAGGCTCCAGGAATTTGTAATAGACGAGCACCCGTGGCTGTTTCACGGAAGCGGATGCCTTCTATTCCCAGCTCTTCCAATTTTATACTACTCTTTGCCATAGTCAATACCGAGGCATAGGAAAGTCCCCTTTCCTCTGCTCCGGGCTGCAGCGTAATCACCACAGCTGTGGAGCGGGGAGTACGCAATTTTCGCTTTTTCACCTGCACAGCTTGCACTGCAGCTTTTTGTATCCTCTTATTGGCCTTTTTGGCTTTTTCTCTGGCCCCTACAGTCTTCCAACCATCATCCTTCTGCTGTAAAGTCGATGGACCCCCAGTTGTGGCCTCAAGAATAGAAGGTTTCTTCTTCTTCTTCTTTTTCTTTTTCTTGACTGATTGGCTGGGCTTAGAAGACGGTGCTGCTTTCGCCGTCACCAACGCGTCCTCCTCAAATCGAGCTTCTTCGAGCTCTGGTCTTGGCTCCGTCACCACTGCTTTCGCTGCTTTCGCTGCGTAAGTCGGTGATGATGTTGATGTCTGTAGCACTACTCTATCTGCTGCAAGCGGTGGCCGTAGTATTTTGCCCTCAATGACCGAGAATCGGGACGCGAGACTCGATATCTCCGTCCTAAGGAGACGAATAACATTTGACTCCTCAGATGAAGATTGACGCGCTGGTGGCTGAGGTCCAGCTTCGTCTTTTCTCTGTTTAAAGAGCTCATTCCGAAGCTCTCCAAGTTCTTTCAAGAGTTCCGCCATTTGCGCTTCTAGACGAGCGTTCGCGGCCTCCAGGCGAGTATTCGCTGCCTCAAGGCGTCTGACTTCTTCATTTGAAGTGCGTCGTGACAACTCCTGGGCAACCTCGGTTATAGAAGCAGCCGCCTCTTTAAGAGCCTTCTGTGATGTCCCCTTCAGGCCTTTGGATAGTCGTGCAACTTCTTTAATGGCGCCGACAGCATTTTGAATCCGATCGTCTAGTTGCCTTGCTTGTAGGTCGTCAACCTCTATCACAGCAGAGAGAGAAGACTCTGAAAGCCTCGACATCCGACCAGTGCGAGTCTTCCGGGTCCCCTCAACAACAGCTGCTTCTTCTTTTGTCAGCCGCTCCTCTATTTCGGCAGCTTTTTTAGCAGCTGCCAACTCCTTCCTCGCCTTTGCCAAGCCAACGTATTGGCCTGTCGTCGGTGGTCGCCCTCTGCCCCTTTTTGGTGCAGTATTTGATCGAACAGTCGAAACCGCTGTATCACCTTCGCCGTCACCGCTAGAACCCGTTTCCGGCTCTGAGTGTGACCCATGTCTTGGCCTCTTGAGCCACCTCGAAATGTCAGGGTGACTCTCATCCATCTCCACTGATTCTGTAGAAGCCAAAGTGTCAGCATCTGACACCATGGCAAGCTCCTCCACTCTCTCCTTCTCTACGTAATTTTTATTGTTATTATTTTTTAAATCTTCCATGCAGTTCCCACGAGTAGTAAGGAAATAAAAGTCCATCTGAGCAGAGCCTATATACTCAGATAAGCCTATATACAACCGGGTGCGGCAGGTGCCCGGAGGTTGAAGTGCTCGCGGCCTGGTTTTTTCCCCAACCGACCATTCACCCCTCACCACACTTCTGAGCTTAGGTTATAGGGATAGGGACCGGGCGGTTAAGCCAAGTCCCGACGACGGCGGCATTAGACATGCCTCCGACCCGTTATCCAGCCACCCTGGCTTAGCGAGTCCCGTCGCATTTTGTACCTCCGAGGAGACGCAAACATCCACCGCACCAGTGCGCCCGCACTGGCACGACGTTCGGACCGAACGGTAATCTGCGTCAGATCTGCCCACGAATGCCGTAACATAAGTAGACCCGTCGCCCCTTGAGTATGTGCCAGATCTAAATGTCCTGTACTTTAACAAGTACATACAATAGATTGGCACCACTCAGTATTTTTTTATAGAGGTTTTCTTCCTCGTAACCCAGCCTACCACGATGTGGACAAGGCTGAGTCTCCGTCCCTCTCAATGAAGATTACGGATTGTCCGACGGTGACAAGAGTCACTATGACTAGCCATGAATGACTAGTCAACAACGCCGCACTGAATCGTGTCCCCTCCATGGGGAGCGAAGCGCCGTCTGGTTTTGGTCCGTGCCAGATTAATACCGGTACCGCGCATATCTACGCGGCATTCCCCTATCCGCCACCTGGGGACACGCCCGATAGGAGACCAGAAACTCCCTCGGGATTTAAACCTATCTTTGGAATTCCAAATGAACAACTAAATCATAATACTTAAAAAATACCACATGCAATAAATTAACATGCAATGTGGTGTTTTTTTTTTATTTTTTTAGTCCATTAGGAACTTTAGGAACATAATAATGCCACTTTCCTGTTTAGAATCACTAATTATTTTAAACCTAAATGCAACTACATAAAGTTTAAATACAAATAAAGACCCATGTCGAAATATTGCCACATTTCCCTATTATACTACAGAGTTTATATGAACAGTTACTGTTGATTTATACTTAAGTTCATTGCATTAGAAGTCCCCATGCTGTTGGTAGGTAGTTATTGTAAGTGCATTGCATAACTGCAACATACGTACATCTATATAATACACATCAATCACGAGGCATACCCACGAGACGGTAATGTTAGTTTCAATGTCACGAAAATTACAATCTAATTATTAGTTAGTACACGCAAAATAACACATGTTCTAGTTACGAACAAATAAATAACCACGTAGGCAATCGTCACCAATAACATTCTATAGTCATTAGATAGATGAAAGTAACTATTTGCGTTATAATACCCAAGCATTTCACGTACATGTTTATAAATAAAAGATATTAGATGATGAAAATATACCCGAACCACCAAGATGAATTTGTTACACCATGAAATACATTTAATATCTCAATATTTCGTTACCAATGTTATATTACATTAAAGATACGTAGTATTATATATTAAAATTATATTACTTACAGTTTCAAGAATGATCTCTGAGGCACAAATGATATTCAGCATTCTAACGCGTTTATGAAACACCCAATGTACACTTGACTACGAGACGACGAGACTAACAAATAAAACAAAGACAATTCAACATGGCAACCTCACCTGGCAATTGGCATTTTAGGAAGGCCATAGACAAGGAGTCTTAGGCAGTCACCTATTACAAATTGCAGAAGTTTTAATTTTTATTTTCATTCATACTAAATTATATTCCAAACAACTTATGCAATTCTTTTTTTGATAAAAATATTTTTTGTCGAACCATACCCTATACCCCCGAGCATACCCATACCCTCATTCCCATAAAAATTCTCAATTGACCGCTCACTCACTCAGAATCCAGTCAGTCAGCTGATATTGATAGTATAAGTTGACACTGACAGAAAGTAAATTTTGACATACATTGTTTAGGTTATATTTTATTCTTTGACAAATGAAATTCTTCATTTGAGATGCAATAAAAACAAACTGGTGTAACTCAGATTAATACTACCTCATTTAAATTTTAAGAATTCTCCATGATGTCTAATGATGAACCCACTGATCTGGATTGGGTGCAGCTCCGAAAAGAGATGGGAGCGCACCAGCATGTTGAAACAACAAGTGAAAAATTTGGAAGAAAATTTTCTGAGAATCCTTTCGTTCCTATCGGTATGACCGTAGAAATTTTTCTTGAAAACTCATCACATTTAATATAATTTTGGGATAATGGCTTTATTCGGTTGTATTTATCCTGTTGGAAATAATTTTTTTGTAGTACCTCTTTATGAGATAGGTACTTATGCAATAGCTTAATTTCAGTAAACAAATTATTGCTCAATGTTTTTATCTGCAACCCAAGAAACAAGAAATAAAGGTATAGTGCCAATGTAAACAAAATACATTGTCATGTTCCAGGATGTTTGGCCACAGCAGGTGCTCTGTCATATGGACTTTGGAGCTTTAGAACAGGGCGCAAGAAGATGTCTCAACAAATGATGCGGCTCAGAATAGTTGCACAAGGATTTACAATCACAGCTTTAGTTGTTGGTGTTATGATGACAACTGGGAGAAGTCTAACAAAGTAGTTTCTACGATTCATTTAATATTATTGATTTTACAACTTTCAATAAGACACAATGGATATTTAAGTAGTATTTTTATTAAATAGAATAATCTCACCTGATGTATTTCTAATATATTTAAACATAGTATATTACCATGTTGACTATTCAACACATTGAAATGTTAAATACACACATTTTTTAGTCATTGTTTTAGGAGTTTGTAAATAAAAACTTAAGTTCTTCTGCTTTGGTGATTGTTACATAATAAAACATTAACATTGCCCAGCTCTAAAAAAAATTTGATTGAGTTGTAAAAATATTATATACATTTTTAAATTCTAAATGCATAATGGTTGTTTTCACTTTCAAAGTTTAATCTACGCTCTAGATGTAAATCATGATACAAAATATATTTTTAGTAATATTCATAAGCCTAAGTCTTTCAAATTCAGCATAATAAAATCTAGACCATATTGTTTCTCCTATTATTCACTTTTCTAAGCATTGTTTGTAATTTAGAGAGTAAGTAGAAAATGGGTAGGTATTCTTAGATTCGAAGATAAAAGAGGCAATAATCAAAGCAAAGAAAAGGATGCAAAATTGTACAATTAAGTGGGGTGAATCTTTAAGCATAGGTATTAACCTATGCTTAAAGATTCACCCCACTTTGCTTGTTACTTGGGTAAACCAGTAGGAACTCATGGTGCCTCTCCTAGCCACTTGATAGATTTATTTTGTGGCTTTTTCTCAATTAGAATTTAAAATGCTATGCGTTCCATAAAAACATGAGAAGAAATGATCACAAAGTTCTGTTAGTAGCCACTCCAACCCATTGCCGTCCTCATATTACTTTAACAATTAAATATTAAAGTTTTTATTGTAATTTATCTGCGAAATGACCAGTATTCAAAACTTAAAAAAGTTTTGTAAGGCGGATCGATCGTTTACAATTCATTCATTTTTTATAATTCATTCACTTCACTGTCATGTACAAGGTTCATGTCAGACAGTAAAAGTTCAATCAATCAATTATTTTTGTTTTTGTTGACGCTCTCCCACTTAGTTCCTATTATTTTTACACATTAAAAACATGAAGATAGTGATTATTTTAGAAACTACGAGATGATATAAATTGATGTTTATTAGGCAGTGTAATCAGAAAAATATATTAGTTTATCAGAAATACCCACCTATCTAATAATGAATGGGTTTATAGCTGTGCATTGTGGTAAATTTCGTTTTCTACAATAAAAAACCCAAAATTAAAATATCAGATAATGGTCTTATAACTACTACCATAGTGTAGTCGCTACTAAGTTCTACAACGAATTTCAGGTGCTGGTTATCACAGTGATACATTGAAAAAGGAATATCAAAAAACTTGTTATTTAGCATGCAGGAAAGCTGCCACTGCTCTCCAGCAAGGTGGTAACGCCGTAGATGCTGTAGAGAAAGCCATAATAGGTTTGTATTATCTATTGATTTTTCATTCCAATAGGAATTGGAATCCATTTATACAAATTAGTTTTTAAGTGACTAATAAACTTACCTACCTGACCATCAATTTTCCTTTCTTTTGAGTATTTTATTATATTTCCAGAATTAGAAAATAGTCCACTAACTAATGCTGGCTATGGATCAAACCTAAGTTGGAATGGCACTGTAGAATGTGATGCATCTCTCATGAATGGCCAAACTTTACATTTTGGTGCCTGTGGGGCTGTTTCAAATGTATGGAATCCAATCACATTAGCCAAACAATTGTGCATTAAACAATGTGATAATTTGTCTTTGGGCAGAGTCCCTCCTTGCATACTTACTGGACATGGAGCAAGATCCTGGGCACAAAGACTGGGATTGGAAATTGTAGAAGATCACAAAATGGTCTCAGCACGTGCATTTCGTAACTATAAACATTGTAAAAGAAAGCTGAAAAGATATTCCATACAAAATGATATTAAATTTAGCCCATTAGACACAGTTGGGGCAATCTGTGTGGATTCTAATGGTGTTGTAGCTTCTGGAGCAAGTTCTGGTGGTGTTTCTTTGAAGCATGAAGGCAGAGTTGGGCAGGCTGCATCTTTTGGCAGCGGAGTTTGGGCAGTAATGAGCAGGGATGGCACAAAGCCTTCAGTGGCCTCTTGCACTTCTGGATGTGGGGAACATTTGATTCGAACACAGCTAGCTAAAAATTCTGCAGAAAGTTTGCTTGACCCTTCTCCAGTTTTAGGCCTTGATAAATGTTTGAAAGAGAATTTCCTACAGTCACCTTTTTTATGGGATGTCCCTGATAGGCTTGGTGGAACATTAGCTTTGAAATTTGATGCACTGAATGGTGAAGGAGAATTACTTTGGGGTCACACTACAAAAACAATGTGTATTGGGTACATGTCAACTGAAAATGACAGACCAAAGGTATTGTATGACTATATTTTATGTTTTGTTATCAGGTTATTTGCATGGTTATAACCATTTATTTTACAATTTTTTTACAAATTTTCAGTGCATCATTTCTTATCTGCCACAAAAAGTGGAACCAGGCCAGAAAGCAGTTGTATCAGGACAGTCATTCAAAGTATCCATGCAGCCCTGTCCTGTGAAGTGGGAGGTAAAAGCAGAGTCTGGTTGTAATGGATCTCTTTTAGAATAATGTGAAATATTTAGATGTAAGCACAAATAAATAAAATGTGTGAAGTGCAGTTGGAAAATAAAGTTCTTAGTACCATAATAAGGTTTTTTTTATTTAGTTATTCACTCTACATTGGCAGAAGTTATCCTCAGTTATAATAAATATGTATAAATGGACAAAGGTACTATAGATATATAAAAGAAAAGACATCATACAATGTTTAATAAGAACTGTATTCGAGAAGTTAAATGTGTGCTAAAATATAAATTCGGTGAGAGGCATTTATTAAGTACCTTACTATAATTAAGTAAATTACAAATAATAATATCAAATTAAATGGAGTTAAAATCATAAGTCATTGTATGTTCATGACGAAATAATAAATCAGTACATATTTGTGCTTCACCTAAATTAGTAAAAAGTAGCCTTTCCTTCAATTATTACAAAAGAATATGGAAGTCAGGCAGTTTTTGTCAGAAGCTGTTAACTTGACCAAATAAATATTATAATTACATTTTAAACAATTTTCTGTAATGATTTCATCACAGTGATGAAAAGCACCATCTTTAGTACCAATAACATTCAATTAAATCAAAATTATGGGGCATCAAAAGGCACTAGTCTATAACAATAATGTACTTGCTGCTATTAAATAACTGTTGCCGAGTTCAACTGCTAAATAAATTTAATGAAAAACTAATATCTTCCAATTTATAATAAATTGAACAAGAGGATTCAGTTTTTTAGTTATTAACACGGTAAACTTATTCTACCTATAATCACAAAGTACGACAATGCAACATAGTCTGTTATATTACGTTTGTTTGTACTAGACAAAATGTGTAATGAAATATTATAAATAAAGATTACTGTAACTGTAATAATATCATTAACTTCTTATTAAAGGAAACTAGAGATAAACATACACAATAGGTACACTAAGTACTTGTACAATAATAACATACAAATAAAATATATTTGTACATAAGTGCTTGACACACAAAATATAGTAAGTAAAGAGATCATACAACATGTACCAAAAGCTGATGGTTAACTTTATAATCATTAGTATAGAACACATCATCTTGACTAATAAAATCAAGGAAATATAAAAGCTCTGGTTTGTCATTTTAGTACATTGCTTAATATACAGATGTTAAACGAGAAATGTATTAAAAAGAGAGCATTCAGTACCTGTTACGATTTTCGTCGCAAAGTTCGCGAAATTTAATGAATTTTATGAATTAAGTAAAAAATAATGTACTCCAGAAAAATAATATGTTCCCATCTTTTAGGCATTTTCAGCTTGGTACATAGTGTACGGAAAGATCCCATATTAAATACATGCACTGAGAAACGATAATACAATAATATTATGTATTTCAGAAGTCACAGATATCACTGGCAAGGTAAAAAAACTAAGAAAAACATCACAAAGTTAGGTATTGTATTAATCAAACTAAAAAATTAAACTTATATTTACATGAATAAAAAAGATTTACATAAATTTTATAGATGCATCATGCATAGCCTCAAAATAAGTTTGAGTATTAATCTCAAAAAGTAAAGTAAATAAAATTGATATAATCTAAAATAGTAAATTATTTGGTCCTGTAAAATAAAATTGATCCATACATTACATTACATTACAATATTATTCCACTGTTAATTAAACAGCAAGTAATGCTATTATGTTGTTAGTCTTTACTACACTGGTAAATCATATGCTAACAAATTACTGTAAATTAACTTTATACTAAGGAGAAATGTTCCTAAAGAGAAAATTACAGGTTTAATTTACGTTTAATTACAGGTTTGATTCTATTCGTAGCTAATTATATTTTAGAACAGCTGCTCTAAAAGTTTTTTACAGTGCGTAAAGATTGAAATAAATATCAAGGGACATAAAAAATAAATTAAGTTTGTACTTAATTTTATTATTTCAAAATAATAATATAGCTGCTTTATAAACCATGATTATCGATGCATCGAAACTATGAAAACTTAATTTTACGTACTATGCTGTCTAATATTTACTGATTTCGTGTCATAGGTGTTGACGTTACAGTTTTTAAAGCTTAACAGGAAATTTATTGTCACCCATATCAACAAATTAAATGCCAACTAATACTGGTTTCAAAATAAAATAAAAAGGTATTTTATCACATTATCAAAACATTGCCAATTTGTCTTAAGTATGTTTGCAATATACCAACCTCGCGATCATATCGAATATCAAAATACAAGGCATCTCATCAGTCTGTAATACATTCCAAACATCCATCCTAAATTAGTTAATAAACATTCAAAAAATACCTCATACGCAACCATACTCGTACCAAATTGCCGATTCTTTCGAGTTATCCGTTTTCTCATTCCGATTTATTGACCTTCTATCATTCCTTAGATCATCTCTTTCCGGCAAGCTCTCTTCTGCTGCAGATCTCGGATGTTCCGACATTGACCTGTGTTGGTCTGTGGCTGGTCGATCATTCATGCTTTGACAGGCACCATCACCAATTACAGTGGAAATTCGATTGTATACCAAGTAAGTTGGGTTTTCTTTGATAGGTGTACTTTGTGGCTTAGTATTCAGATTAGCACTAGCATCTTCATCTGCTACGTACACCGTACGCCTGGTACCTGCTGTGCCAAATGGTGTTGGTGTTGATGCTGGAAAAATAAATTAAGACACGATCAAGCATTGTTTTTAACAAACTTAAATTATTTAAAAACAAATTGTTTGAAATTTACCTGCCGGCAGCCCCGTGTCACTTTCTAGACCTTGGAAACTATTTCTGTGGGTAGGTGGAACTGCTTTATGCGGTCGTCGTCTCAACGACGCTCTGATAAGCGCATCGTCGCCTCCACCGCTGTGTATCGATGTTCCAGAAAGCCTCCGCACAAAATTACTTTCACTGGTCAATCTAGTTGAATCCAAACTTGGAATTGATCCACTCATGTCAATGTTATCCGATTTTTTCAAAAGTTTGTCATCAAACCTTCTCGTGAAACTAGAATCAATGCTATGTCTTGGAGACTCAGCACTGGGATTTGAAGAACCTTGATCTTGGTCGGAATTTTTCGAAATTTTTTCTAGCTCTTGGCTACCAGGATCCGATTCACCCGATTCCGATCCAGCCAACGTAAGCTGAGATTTCGATCGACTGGCGTCTTCAATTCGTTTGTTGTTTCTTGTTGGTACTTTATTAATCAAATCTGTTCCAGCTTTACGCACCCTCTTCACAAATGACGCACCAAAACCACGTCTTTTGGTGGTACAGTTATCCAATTTTTTGTAATGTTCCATAATTTTTTCTTCTAATTTTTCTTTTTGGCGACACAACGCATTTACTTTATCTGCAAACATCTTTTCTTCTTCATGGTAATGTTGTTTATCTTTTAGTGAGTGAGCAAGTAGTTCGTGATATTGGGTCAACAGTTGTGACACATGATCCATCAAAGAACGCCTGTCTGCATCTAAACTCTTATTCATTTGAATTAACATTTCACAATGTTGGTTGGTCTTATTAATTTCTAATTCCATACTGGTTATAATCTCAACCTTTGTGTTGATTTCACCAGATATCTCAGTATTTCTTAATTTTAGTTGAGTTACTTCACTCCTAAGATTTCTATATTCTTCTTGCATATTTCTGTACTCATTCTTCAGTCTATCACTTGCTGTAAAGAGGTTCCTGAAGTCATCCTTGAGTTTAGAATGCTCAGCTCTAAGATTAACCAGGTTTCTGGATTCAATTTTTAAGTTTTCTCTTTCGGCTTCGAAATCGGACACCTTCTTCTCATACTGTGCCAATTTTTCTTTTAATTCTCGATTTTCAAGTTTTAGATCTCTAACAACGATTTTAACAGGTTCTCTTTCACTGAGCAGAGTTTCGTATTCAGTGTTAAGCTGTTCATGAAGTGTCTGTAGAGCCACTTGATCTCTCAGTAGGTTATCTTGTTTATCTTTCAAAACTTCTAACTGTTTGATAATCTCTTCTTTTTCAGCAGCAAGTTGGCTATTAGCTAGCTGTAAGGTCATTTGTTGAGATATCAAGGAACCATTCTGAGAGTTCAAAGTTGCAATGTTTACTTGTAGTTTAGCATTTTCGGCTTGACTATTTTCTAATGATGCCTGCAATGTCGCAAGATCTGAAGTGAGTTGCTCTATTTGCGGATTGACTATATCGTCATTGCTGTTTACGTTAACATTGTCATGATTACAATCACATGGAACCAATTTCATTAGATTGGCCTTAGCTGCAATTTCTGATATCAATCCTTCATGATCAACATTTGTGATAACTTTTTCCAATAAATCTTCTATACTAACATCTCTACTCAATACTTCTGTTGCATTAATACCAAGTTTATCCATACAATTTCTTAGTTTATCAAAATTGACCTTTTCTGAAATAAGATCTTTTTGTAGTGTTTGAATAGTTTCAGAATCTACTTTCTTTTGTGATTTAAGCTCTTGAGTCTTTTGTTCTAAGTCTTGAAGTTTACTTGTCATTGTGTGGCTTATCTCTAGTTCTCTTGTTAATCTCTCCAATTCCTTCTTTTTGAGTTCAATTTCGGTTGTAAGTTTATCAAGTGATACATCCTTTTCTTCAACAGCTTCTCTTAACTTGTTAACTTCCCTCTGCAAGTTATGTGTGTCCCTTTCACTGTATGTTAATTTCGTTTTTAATTCCTCAGTTAGAATTATGAGACCAGTGACCTTATCAGCTTCCGGCTTCAAAATGTTCAGCTCTTTAGTTCTAGCATCCAAAGACTTTTCTAATTCATCTGCTCTTCTTTGAATAGAATCACATAACATTTGAATTCTCTGTTTATCTTTGGTTATAGATTCCAAATGCTTTTCAAAATCTTGTAATTTGTTCTTTTCTGAATCTCTATCAATTGCTTGTCGATCTATAAATGTTTTTTGGCTATCGAAAGAATCTTGTAACTTTCTATTTTCTTCTAGAGCATTTCTGAACACTTCTTCTAACTCAGAGTTTTGTTGCATAAGCCTGTTACAGTTTTCTTGAAGCTGCTCACATTTCAATGTTAACCTTTTCTTTTCCTTCTCTAGCTCAAGCACTTTATCACTACTTTCTAGTAATGTTTGTTCTCGGAGGCTATCTATAGTTGATAAAAGTCTCTTATTTTCAAGTTCCAGTTTCAAGGCCCTGGCTTGAGCGTTACTCGTTAATTGTTCTGATAAACTATTTTCTCCAGATTCTAGAGTACTCTCGCCTTCGTTGTCCGTATCTAAATTACTATTATTGCTTTCACTTAATACTGATTTTGTTATGTACTGCAGATGATTATTTTCTTCAATAAGTTCCTGGATTTTCTGTTGATCTGCATCCCTTTCCTTTAAAAAATAAAAACAGTAGATGATGTGAGATTTATCAAAATTTTGGCTTCTGAAAATTCCTACATAGAAATGATAGACTACTTACCAATGCAATATCATTGGCTTCCCTCTTCAATTTGATCATAGCTGCCTCTAAAGTAAGGCATTGTTCGGCTCGTTTCCGCGCTCTTTGTAGTTGTTCTTCTAAGGCATCTCTTGTTTCCATTAAAGCTTTATTATCTTCGCGAAGTTCTGTAACTCGAGTTTTATAGTACTCCGCATCAGCTAGACGATCACGGTACCGCTGAATTTCTTGTTCAAGCCTATGAGCATAATTGATTATTATGTTCCCTATCTAATACAATATGTTAATCATGTAGCGTAATTATTTACGAGTATGTTAGACTTACCTATCACATCGCTCCGCTTTTTCCCTGAGAGCATCAACTTCATCTCGATAGCCTGCTGATTTTCTAGCTTCATTGAACCATTCTTGGCTGTCAGAGCGTAACTTGGCTAGCACTAGCTTGGTGTGTTCTAATTCTTCACGACATTCGGATAACTGTTCTGATTTTTCTTCCCTAAAAGTTGAAAAATAACATTAGTAGTTAGTATTAGTATAATGCAATTAACACAAAAATATTTATTAAGTAACATTCTTAATATATTTACAGACAATCAAATTAGGTCAAGCAAAACTGTTATCGTGAATGTTCCAAAATTAAAACAGTTTTTAATCATTATTATTACAATTAGATACTGAATTTATAAGTGTAGTTTTTACATGACACAGTGAATGTTTAAGAACTTATAATTTAACTAGATAAAAATGATAAATGACCTAATTCAATTGTCCACCAGTAAAGTTTTTATCACATAACTACTCACAATTCTTGTCTTTGCTTCCTCAAACGTGCTTTCCAATCAGCCAGCTCCACAGCAAGATGTTGGCTATCGCCATTATTTTGGTTGACATTCTGTGTAGACCTATTCTTTCCATTTTTGTTCTCATTGTCATTCTCACACAACCCTTCGTGAAGTACTAGTGAAGCCCAGTTTTGTAGATAGTGATCACGTTCTTTAGCTAGCCGACGCATGTGATTAAACATCGTCGGTGATTGAAAAAGATCGATGGCGTCTGGCGTCAATACCACAGTCTGCATGTCTGTAACCTTTAAAAATATTATAATTTGTATGGTGTTGATTTGTTGATCAGGTGTTGTACTTCAAGAGCTTTTGAAAAAAAAACAAGTTTTGCTATAATTATGCTGAGCTAGAATGGTACTTCAGGTAGTATTATTGGGTTTTTTGATTGCGAAATCTCAGTATCAGCAATTGTATACTTAAAATTGTGTGACTATAAAGTTGGTCAAACTCTGAACATAACTAACTAGAGAACCTATAGGAATAATTTCATACTATTAAACTGGTTTTTGTAAGGTCTTTTGTGTTCAATTTGTATGTTCTAAGTATCATTAGAACAGACAACTTTGCGTAATATTTGACAACCAGTTAACATGAGCACATGTTGAAGATTTGTCATGGACATTCTACTTCACAGTTTATTGTGACTTTGTAACATCTGTTTACGAAAGTTAAATAAACACTGGTATGTGTGAATATTTTTATACTAAGCTCAAGGTGTATTAAGCTTTTTTGGTTGCAGTAGCAACTGTATGGCATGAGCATCTTGACGACTAAGGACCTACTGTTGCATTTTCAAATATAATTTTTGTTTACAGCTGGTCAGGTTAGATTTATGAATAAAAAAGTCTAGTTAAAACTGACCCAGAGGTCTCCCTGTGACGCTCCATCATCCATAGAGAAAAATAATTTTCATAATAATTTAATTGTCCTACAAATATTTATTTATTTCTCATCCAAATATAATTGGTTACTTCATACAAGTAAACATTTAAAGTAACTGTAAAATGTCAACTAAAACTTGCACAAGAGACAATTGTGAGTCAAGTCATGCTTGACTGGTTCTATTATCAGTTGTATTCTAACTGTGAGACATGCTTGGCTTATGTATGTGTGAACACTTCCTTATACATAGATGACTGACTTCTTTATCCATAAATTACACCTTAATGGAACCTCAAAGGGCCTTGGATACATGACAAATGGCTAGGTACCCAAATTTGTGGAATCATATTTCATTTTGTTTATTAGTGGCAATTATTTTGTTCACTGGTTGCTCATGTTTCAATACTAGTCGAGTTACATAGCTAATGAGTTTTTAACCCTCAATAAAGTGATAAAAAACTGAATTTAGATAGCTGGCAATATATTTAACAGATTAATAAACTAGTATATTTTCCCTATTCCTACAAAAAAGGGCATGATCAATATACAGCATATTTTTATTGCAATTGAACGAAGAATATTAAAATTCATACCTGTTTGATGCATTCCACAATGTTGTGCTGCAGATCAACATTAAGTTCCTTAATCCTGGTGATGAACAGTTCTTTATTAGGACACTGAACTGCTGCACCAAGGAGAAGCAAGATCAAAAGCTTCATAGTTTCCAGACCCTCTCTAGATTCTGGTGCCTTGCCCAAGCATATACACTCAGGGACCACCAAGAGTGTCATACCAAGCTCTTCTTCATACAAACTTTTCACATTTTTGATAATGGCATCAAAGTTCTTCACTCTACCTAATATCAGGGCTTGGTCTTCCAGCCCAGCAAGTTTTGTGATATGGCATGATGGCTCTGGGTCTATCTGAAGGTACACTTGATGTAAGATATCTCCATTGAATAGAGATGAATACTCTGTGACAACATCTGGACTTGGAAGACATGATTTTAGCTGAAAATAAAATTTTAGATATCACTTTAGACATAATATAAGTACCTAGTTTAAATACTGTCTGTCTACATAATATGTAGCTTTATATTACAGTCTGGTTATGAAGTTTTCACAATAGATAGAATGATCTGCAGTAAAATAGAAAGTTTGATTTATTAGATCCATGATCAAATGAACATTCACAAAAGATAATAGGAAGTATGTGAAGAATTTCTCTAAGAACAGAACATGTGTATTCTTATATCAATGGTAACACACCAACAATGCATCAATGAACAGTTGTGGGAAGTATTTTTATTATAGTAAACTACACTGATAATAAACTCAGCTCTCTTTTACAATACCATGGTAATAACAACCATAAGAAAAACTTTAATTAGGTATGATTTATCATATTCTTTAAAATTGGTTCCATAAGTACATTTATTTTTAACACAAGAAATGCATGTCTATTTATAACTTCCAAAATGATGACGAATCTTTTTAAGCCACTGCTTTTAATAACAGCTGGAGGAACGTATATATAGCCAACTAAAAATCAATCATTCAATAGATGAAGAGAATATCATAGCATGTACAATCTTACAACCATCCATTACAAAACGACTTGATCACTCGAGTATGACAACAGAGAATCACAACATTCACTGTTCCTTATGTATGGTCCTAAAAATAAATAACGTTTACAAACCATGCAAAATAAATAAATACCACATTCATTCACAAGAAACGCTTAGACAAATTCACCTCACGCTTGATATTTACGCGCACAGCTATAAAAACAGAGGCACGAATCGTTGTGCACTCACCCACGAAACTAGAGGCCCGTTCAAGAAGTCATCAATTTCGGAACCAGACGCGGCCATCCTTGCCATGCGTTAGGATGAACGAAACCTACTCCTCTGTGTTTGTCCGGAACGCATTGCATCGAAGCAGTGCTCAGTGCTTATAAAAGTAGTAATTTCACTTAACATCTGCAGTAAACGAGAAAAATCCGTACTACTGTACCACTTGTTCTAAATCAAGTTGACAATTAAAGATTGTCACAGATTAAAATATTAAAAACAAAACGTCTCAAACAATAGAGTAGCCCTTTATTACTATTTATTCTCTTCGCAGTAGAGTGGTGCATCAGCAAAGTAAAAAACTTGGTTGAAAGGAAAAAAATCGCAGGTCTAGATGCTAGATCACTGACCTCTATATAGTATACACAAACCAGATTGAGTAAACGTCTGGTAAAACAGGAACTCATACAATTACAATACATTGCACTATTTCTAACTATTTCGATTCCACTTTGTATTTTAGGAAAACACAAATTGGATGGTGAATGGGTGGTCTTTATAAGGTATGTCAATGTTATCATCGGAACAATAACTAAAGCAATGTTATCCAAAAGTCCTTGGCTATAGCTCTATGCCCTGTAATTTGTCAAACAAAATGTCATTGTGATTGATCATTTCATGTCAGAAAGAATGTCAATGAAATGAAATCGGCTAGGTATCACTTGTCTTATCAGTTGTGAATGAAAAACTGTTTCATGGATAACGTTGAGTTTAAGTGCGCTCCGCAAACAAACAAAAAATAATATATTATGAAGTGTTCTTACTGTAGCAAAAGTTAAAATATAAAATAACAATGTTCCACAAATCATCTTTGACGAAAGTCAAATTTCAAGATCAACAATTAGACGATTATGTTCTTGAGGTAAATAAATATATAATAATTTGTTAAAATAAAAAATACTCACTGACTGATAATTTATTTACTATTCAAAGATCTATGGTTCATCCATGAACTCCAAATTAGAACATAATGCATGTATTATGAACACTAACTTCAACTGTCCAACTCATTTGTATTTTTATTTCAGAATTCAGTTTTAAAAAGTAAGTTACAAAGTAAGATAGATGCTTTATCAATAATGAGCAGAGAATTGGACAAATGCAGCATGGAGAGGGATAGATTCAAGGTGTTAGTAGAACAGTTGATGTGCAAGAAAACAGTGCCTATGAAATCTAGTCCAGGTGCTAACAATGTATCTTATAGACTAACTCCTACTAATACTATTACTGGTGGAGAGATGCTTGCTAAAACACAAGACCATAACAATATGCTGAAGTTAGAGGTAAAATTTTGTTGATTTTTTGTAAGAAATATCTCTTACGGTTTGCTTTATTGATTAATTGAAATAACTAATTTAATTTATACATTGATTTAAAATTAAGTGACATCTTAAATCTGTATTATATGTTTTTAAATATAAAATGTAAATAATTTAATGGTACTAACATCCCTTTTAAAAGTTGAGCCAGCCCATTTGTGCCTGAGTATGACTCTCCCACACTTAAAATAATGTCACTTTTAGGTTGAATCTCTTAAAAGCAAATTAGAGGAAGCTAAAGAGGATATAGTAGCTCTAAAGAAACAGCTGCAAAAACGAGACAGTATTACTGACGAAATGAATGGACACAAAAAGTCTTCAACTATATTTAGCTACTCTCACAAAGACTATGAACAGCTGGTCAATGAACTTGAAAAAAATCAAAAGAAGGTTTGTTGAACACAATATCTTTACTACAAAATAAAAAAAAAATATTTATCTTCATCTTCATGGTTTCAGTACCAACAAATGCAGTTGGACTACAGGGCAACATTGGATGAAAAAGAAGAATTGGTTTCTGATAGAGATTACTATAAAAACAAAGTACAAAGGTTGAGCCATCAGATCAGCTATATCTTGTCCAACAGAACAAAACTACAAGACAGTAATGATGTAGATCCCCCAAAGCCTATAGTTGACATTGATGCTTTAGTCACTGAAAATAAATACCTTCATGAAAGAATAACACAGCTTCAAGTAGAAAAGGAAATAATAAAGAGAACACTAACAAAATATAAGGTTTGTTATCCTTTTAGCCATTAATTCTGGTTTATCAGTGTGTACAGGAAATAATGCTTGATAAGTATGGTAATTTTATTGTTTTTCAGACATTGCTTGACAATAGGAGTAAAAATTACTCTTTGCAGATGAAAAAAGGTTTTGCAGATGTTATGACACAAAAACAAGGTATTTAACTTAGTTATAATTAGTCACATCTATGCATGCATTTTTTATGAAATTTGTGGCTAAAAAGACATTTTTGTACTGTTGCAGTGAGAGAATTTCTAGACAACATTTATTCTAAGGCAGGATTGAAGCAGGGATCAGCAGCAGAATTGAAGTCTCTCTGTCTTGGCTTGTTTGAGGCACTCAATGATAAGTCAATTGCCTTACAACATCAAAGGAAGACTAATCAGTATGTATTTTTTGTCCCTATATCCATTTTGAAAATAGAACTTTTAGCATCAAATGTTAGTTTAGTATACTGGTATATTATGAACTGTTATCTAAGTTACATATCCATAGATAGTTGTTCATATCCGGTATCAAAAGATTTATCTTTACAATGTTACACAAGTAACTGGGAATATTGTTTTATATATACAGTTGCCTGCCTCATTGACTTAGTGGTTGCAAAACATAAATAGTGATAAGTGGGTGTTACATTGTACAGTGGCATTAAGTGCCGTAATGTACACTTCTGCCTACCCCATCGGGGATAAAGGCGTAATGTTTTTATGATATAAATACATTTAATTTTTATTTACAGAATTCTGGCTAATAGAATAACTGAATTAGAAAAAACTTTAGAGAGTTGGTGCAATGGTCAGAAATATATCCCCATATTTCCATCACAAATGTTGATGGATGAGTTCCTGACAGACTCTGGGTCTGTCAAGTCGAATGATTCAAAGGAACAACTAAAGTCCCATGACAGTTCAGAGAATAATAGAAATAAGTTTTCTGATAGTGATGATGAGATGAATAAAGACACCAGTGATGGGTCATCAGGAGACCTAAGGAAGACATATGATGATGAAGATGAGGATGACGTCGAAGAGTGCCAAGAGCTGAGAAGGAACATGTCCAAGACAGTTCTGCCGCAAGACTTACAAGACTTAGTCAAGGAAGCTCTTGCTGAACTAAAACCGGCAAACTAATACAACAAGTTATTTGGTATCTGACAATGGCTGTAACATAAGAGTACAATTTGCAGAGAAATATTATTAAAACAGGGTGGATATTAGGGTGGCGAGGCACAACGTTGAATGAGACTTCAACATTCATTAATTTTATTATCAGACTTGAGCACTAAACAAAAATGCATCACCTGGTGGAAAGTGGAAACTAGTTTTTTTTATTACCACATCTTTATTATGTAGTAAGGGACTTTAAGTACTTTTCAAAAATATATTAATTCATAATTTTGTCTCTATTTGCCAGCAAGTTCCTATCGACCCATTACTTATTACTTTAGAATAAAATTCATCATTCAAAAGCTGTGAAGGAATTCTAGTCTTACCAAAGCAATTATCTAGTCTATGTTAGTATTGATGTATGTTTAATTAATTGTTATTGCGTTTATGTCGAATTATATTATTATTGTCTTGAACAACGTCTTTTATTTATATGTGTACAAAAATAAAACTGAATATGTCCACAAAAATAATTTATTAAATTAATAACTATTTTAATATACTTCACATTTTAAAACTCTCTATACATATATCAAAATTATTTTCGCTCTCATACACACTTTTATTCAAATTCATCAATGTTTAATGATAATCTGTTACAATGTCTAAATAATCTAAGATTACTGTTTAAATATGTATAATAACTTCTAAAAATACATGGCCAATAATATAAATAGGTATACTAAGCATCTAAACCATAATTTCAACATAACTTGCAATACCTATGCAGGTGTTAGGGCTGAAACTTAAGCTTGTACGGTTTCATACAAAAGTGCTGCGTTGGACAGGATCCGACGCGGTACTCAAGCCATAGTGCGCCGTGCCTGCCAGTCGTAACACGCACGGTTGGAGAAAAATGCATTTCGATCTTTCGACACTTTGCGAATGAACTGTATAAGGACCGTTTAGTAAAACGTAACAATATCTACGATTTCGCCAGTTACATTTATCTTGTAGGGAAGGATGATAACGAGCAGACGGACCACGTGATGGTAAGCAATCGGCACTGCTCTTGGACACCCGTAACACTGGAAGAGGGGCCACAAGTGCGTTGCCTTTGGGATGGGGGAGGATTGGTATTGCTGTAACATTCATAAACAAAATGTAAGCGTTTTTCACACATTTTTCCTATGAGACAATGTATATATAGTCCTTCCTACCCATTACGGTAAGAAGGACTATATAGGTACGATTTCTAAGCACGGTAGTTCAAAAGATATAACAAATACCTCAAGGTGTATTTTAAGAATTCATAACATCAATTTCTCACAGATTTTTAAAGTTGTACGTAATTGTGACATTGTTAACGATATGAAGAATTCATATAGGCAATTTCTCATGTTTAACAAAGAGAACAGTACCTAGATAGGTAGACAGGTAAAGTTAGCACTAGGAACTTGCACCCAATTCCTGTCTACTAAATATTGTCAATATCAAGTGTCGCATTTCTCCATCTAAGTATAACTTACTAGCTGTCGTTACAAACTGCGTAATTTTATATTAAATTCTCCATCGACACGACAATACATGCACACAATTGCAATCTCGCGACAGGCACCGTCGCCAACCGTCGCGTCCCGCTTAACTCAGTTTCAGGCCTCAAATTACCACATGATGTTTGTATTGCAGTTTACAGTCCCCACATTACTATGTCAAACATTTTTTCCTATGCATTTCTAGTCAGGTTAATGTCTTGCAGTAATAGTTGTTATTTACGAATATAGATTAATTTAGTTTAATGCTCGTTCGGGTTTACACAACAACCAAATAGAAATACTAAATACTAAACCTTAAATAACATTCAATAATAGTAAATAAAATATAGGAATACCTTACAATACAATACAACACTAAAAATAAACTTATATATTTAAGTTATAGTAAAAGACATATTATCACTACAGTAATTATCTTTATATCCTTTAATCTTGTCACAACTGGTATTAATTTTTAACTTTGGTAATACAATTTAATTATCAATGATATCAATTTACATTGATATGATCTATCTATGCCATCTAATGACCTTACAAGTTTAAAAGAAGGATAGACTTTTAAAATTAAGATATCATTTTATAGCCATTCTGTATTCTATAAAGTTTAAATGCTAGCAACGACTAGGCTTACAAAGATGTAAATAAATACATAAGTGGGTACATAATTTCATAATAAACAATGAGTTATAAATAAACGATCAGGGACAGCTGATTCTGCTACTTATCACATACTCATTCAAAATTTGAAATGACCTAAAAGTGCGCTTACCTTGACAACAGCCATATTTTTTGTAATTTTATGTTAACGTCGCTAGTTTTATAGTGTAAAATAGTCTATCGACGTTCAAGATTTTGCGAGCGTCGTATACAGTGGCCATAGTACGAGTTTGTTTTACGTTTAAAGTAGTAGAAACGAGACCGCGTTCGGCACTATGATAGGCTGGTTCATTGGAGCCGGCCAATCAGAGCACTAAACCGACTCGTAAACTAAACTCGTACCATGGCTTCAACTAAATCGTGCGCCCCGTGATTGTGATATACTTAATACTTTCAGGAAATGCTGGTGTAATGTTCCAATGCAGCTGCAGTGTGATGATGTAATGCCGAGTTGTCGCTTCTCTGCCGCGCGGCCAGCACTAGACGCGACAGGAGGGGACGATGTTCTCGTTCTGAGTACCGCTCGTACGATTCTAGTCCCTCTTGTAGCTTCAGGATCAGACTGTCATAATTCTTTCTGACTACTTCTAGAATCTGAAATGTTAAGAAATGGAATTTTATCAAACAATCCGGCTCAATAAAGAGAGGGTAAGTACAAAGCTTTATGGGATCACCTAAAAATACTGACCTGATCTTCAGTGGGTGTGGAAAGGTTTTGCATGGCCAGCCAGGCCTCAATCTTGGGCGAGAAGTGTTGTATAATAGCTCGAACATTTACCAAACAGTTGGCTAGACGCAGCGCCTCTGCCTTAAATTCACCATCACTGGTCGAATATCGCAACGCTGCGAAATAAAACAAAACCGTCAACGTCAGTTCTAGATAGGTACATGGTAGAATGGGTACAATATAAAAGTGTTTTAGTTGGTAAACTTACCCATATAAAACAGATTATCGAATACTTGATGCATCCGGATAAGTTCGTAGTACAATTGGTCATAAGATACAGGGGTTGGCAAGAAGGTATCGCCAAACGTGATAAACACGTTGAATATGTTCACGACCTAGAAACAACACATAAAATACTTTATGCGAACGTGATCTGTAATAAAATAATCGTAACAAAACAACTTGAGTTGCAGATACTTGGCTCTAGGCGGTTTATTAAAATATTGAATAGGTACCTGTTGGATCATGATGAAAATGTTATGTCTCCTCAGTAAAGTGCTCTCGTTCGTAACTAAGAACTTTAAGAGGGCAATCAGTGCAGCCCATAGAGGTCGCCAGTCTCTAGCTAGTCTCACGCGACATCGCTTTTGGTAGCTAAGTAGTCGCAATAACACCCCTATGCACAACTGATAGAGTTCCCCAGGAAACTTCTTTAGTAAATGACACATTATGAACTCGACGAGGAGATCTGTAAAATAATATAAAGTTATATGGATAAACATCCAAGAAGCATTATATATAAATGTTTTATAAACTTGTATTGCTTACCTATTAGAGTAGATGCCAATGGCTGGGATGGTGGCTCTTCGAGAACAATTTTTCTATGACGCATTGGGAGCCTATACAGTTGTACCTAAAATAAAATAGTGAAAATAATTTTAATCGAGGCTCAACACACATGTCCTAAGACACGGTTTACTCATTAGTCACTTAATTAATATATAGTATTTTCAATTATTTGTACCCCAAATATTTAGTATTTTATTCCTTACTGTTAAAGTATTTTTTTCTTCAATTCCTACTCGTAGGAATAGGTTCAAGCCTTATTAGAACTTAAACATACTTTTAATGCTTTAGATTATTTTTGTAATAAAAGTTATTTTACCTTAAAAGTAAGATTCTGGTCATGCATAATTGAATTTGCAAATTGTTCTTCTACTATACAAGTAAGTATTATGAAACATAGACTGCATTTATTAATGCTAGCTTCGTTGCGTGTGTCTGCCATTACAATGGAACTGTAAAATAGAACATTTATTATCGAATTTAGGCATTAAATAGTATTGTTTAGTCTGTAATAGGTATGATGTATCTTTGTTCATGTGAGACTTACCAATATTGGAAGAATGTGACTAGCAAGTTGGTAGGTTGCTCATTATCAAGAGCTTGTATTTGACTTAAATTTGGCGGAGTCTGAAACAATTTATTAATACCTTTTATATTATGAATGACATATCATCACATGGGTTTGTTTGCAGATGGGTAATAGAACATCTAATTACTTTTTTATAAAACTACGAGACCAGTGCGCGAATATACGATGAATATTTTTAAGCTTAAGGCAAAAGAGACTGTAACTTTAGACTGTGCAGTTTATAATCATCTATCTACTATATACAAAAGAAAGTCGTGTTTGTTACACTATTAACTCAAGAAAGGCTACATCGATTTGACTAAATATTGGTGGGGAGGTAAAACCAGGAGACGGACGTAGGATACTTTTTCCCCGATAATCCTACGGGAAAGTAAAGTACAGGGTTCCGCGTACAAAGTCGCGGGCAGAAGCTAGTATCTTAGTACAAATATGTCAAATAAATTATTCCATATCTTACCTGATGAGGTGGTAACGTAGCCGGCGGAGAAGGCGGTGCTGATGAAGCTGCAGCTGACGAGGAATGGGCCAGTGTTGTCATAAAGTTGCGATTCAAATGAGCTGCCTCATACAATGCCAGTAACATTCCTTCTTCAGCACCACTGTGATAAAAATGGAGGGAATTTAAATGTGTTATGGTGTACCTAGCAACGTGTCCTCAATAAACTAATAACAAAGAATTTAAAGTGGTTTCCCTTGCTACCAAATGTATTTCAAAATTATCATTTTGTCTTCAAATGTACCTATGGCAACAGGCTCACCCCTTATTACATGGGACTCGTAACATAAATAGTGAAAAGTGGGAGTTACATTGTATAGTGGCATTAAGTGCCGTAATGTGCACCTCTGCCTACCCCTTCGGGGATAAAAGGCGTGATGTTATGTTATGTCATTTTGTCTTCAGACAAGATTAAGGCTCAATTTCCACGCGCCGCGAAATAGAAGCGCCAATTTCGTCTCATGACGCGAGGATTCTCGGGAGTGCGGGAGAATTCCAGCGAATTTCAACGCACGCATGATTCGGCATGATCACGTCTCATTGTTTTGTCTGTATCTTTTACTTGACTAGAATGGCCGTTCGCGCCGCTTACCGCCGATTCCTGTATAGAAACGGCTCCAGCGAATTCTCAAGAATGCGCGAGGATTCCGCGGACGACGCGCATCCTATTTTTTGGCTCATATTTAATTTGTGTGTTATACAGTTGATATAGAGTTCATTATGCTATGTACAGTTTCCTTGCATTTCCATTCCATTCCGCGGCAATGAAAATTGAGCCTAAGTAATACCTAGAATATCTTGGTTGTGAAATAGCCAATTTCATTTTGTAAGGTAACAGACAAAGAAAGGACTAAAACTTCAAATGAGTTTAAGTATTCTGATTGGGATAACAATGGTTCAAATACATGTTATGTGTCCTAATCTTATCTGATCAAATTTTCATGTCTAATAATGCACTATTTCGTTTATCACTTACTTAGTTATCGAATATCTATGGTAGGTATATCCTTATATAAACAAGCATAACGCTTAGTTAATCTTTACTTACACACGTAATGTTAGTCGCCATCGTCGTTAATATTGCATTGCCATTACGTACGCGCAGTTACATAGTCGCAGTTAAATCGTAGTAAGAAGCCTAATAAAATCACGTACTCAGAATACAATAATTTTATTTGTATTCACGTTTTCTGTTTCAAAGATCGTAAAGTTTTAGTTTCTACTCAGAATAGATAACATACACTTTTATAGAGGTTTATAGACTGTTATGGATTATCAATCCTTATCCTTACTATATAATATATAATATATAATTATATAATATAATATATAATATAATATATAATATATAATATATAATATATATAATTATATTATATAATATATATAATATATATAATTATATAATTATATAATATAATATAATATAATAATATTATAAATCTGAAAGTGAGTTTGTTTGTTTGTTTGTTTGTTCCACCTTCACGCCGTAGGTACTCAACCGATTGCTTTGAATTTTTGCAGACGTAAAGTTAGATGTCCGGATTAAATAATAGGGTACTTTTTAACCCGGAAAAATATGATATTCCCGAGGGAAAACAAAAGTATTGGTATAGATGGCGCTGTATGTATTGGTATATGTCACTGATGTCACATAGGCTACTTTTTATCCTTTTGTGACGCGAGCGAAGCCGCGGCTTCGCTAGCTAAAAGCTAGTTGAAAATAAATTCTTCTTATTTAACCATGTAACAAATTTTGTTTTGATTGTATAATTAAAATCTTCATACCTGCCCCTCTGTCCTCTGATAACTGGTTGTGTCTCATCACTGGTCATGAATATCCCGCCAACCATACTTGTGAAGGAAGAGAGCCAACCACCACCACTTCCACCTCCCTGCATACTGCCAAATGTTGACATCACATAGTCATTCAGAGCTGCCGTAATAACTTGTCCGTACCTAAAAAATAAATCAGTCGATTACTAACTGTATAGTTTCAATAGGTAGTTCATTTTATATTTTACTAGCTGTTGCCCGCAACTTTGTCCGCTTAGAATATGAATTTTAGGACATTTGTTTGTTTCAATTTTGCAAAATAAAAGTAGCCTATGTTACTCCTTGCTACATCAGCTACCTGCTTCTTCTTTTTTCCTGCAGCCATCCCAGAGATTAGCCAGTACAAACAGACAGACAGACAAAAATTGTAAAAAATGTTATGTTGGTATTGTATTGTATGTATTGTATGTATATTATGCATGCATGTAGCAAAAAGCGGTTATTTTGAATGATTTTGATATTACAAACAGACACTCCAATTATTTATCTGTATGGATAAGAATACACACCCATTTAAAGCTAATTCATCATCTAGTATGGATAATTTCACAACATAAGGATTAGCAGATTCTTGTTTTTTATAGTTTACTAAAAACATCAACAGCATGACCACATCATACCCTAAAAGAGAAATAAAACAATTAATTTTTATCATAGAACTTTTAAAAATATTTACAAAGCTGGAATTAATAATAATGCAAGTGATTCAACAAACATTTAGAATAGTATTACAGTACAATGCAGTTAAAAAAATATAATAATAATAGTTATTTACCATGGTGTTGTCTTTCTGTAGAGGTGCAAAGTAATTGTATTAGAGACTCAAACAATGAGTTCTGCATAAAATACTCAACCAGAGGATTTTCATCTATGTTGTCAAGTCCTGTTGCTATTACTAGAAGAAGCTTTAGAACCATTGACTTTAAACTATCTGGAACATCACCTGCAAATGTATATCATTAGAATTACTTCATGAAAAAGGTACTATACTATGAAGTCCTAGTACTTCAAAATAAATAAGATAGGATGTATTTTTCTACTACTAATTTAGTAAAACCTATTTCTTATTGTTTAGTATTTTAGTAGGTACATAACATATATAGAAGTAAAACATGTGTACTTGCAGGCTATTAAGTAATAGTGAATTACCACTGGATTGAAAATGGACCACTGGTAGTAAAATTGTAGCCTTGTTTATTTATTTGACTTTATATTACAGTTCTTATTAGTTATTGGTAAACTATGTATTACCTGATAAAATGGTGCTACAATGTTCAAACAACTTTTGCATTTTCATGTCAGGATTATCTGATCCAATTAACACTGTTTTAATGTTGATATTTGAGTCTTGGGCAGCTCTTTGGTACATTGTTATCAAAAGAGCACTGAGAGTTTGAAGTGCATACACCAATCTGAAATAGTATTTAGTCAAATTGGTAATCAGGCTGTAAATAATTACTTTTAACTTTAATGTAGCAAATAAAATGTTACCTTATGTGATGTTCTTGCCCTAACATCTCAATACATTGTGATACAAGTAAATTCATACTATCTTTCATGCTCATGAGCTGTTCTACAGACAGCTTGTGAATCTCAGCTTCAAGTTGTGGAATTTTAGGCTTGAGGAGAAAGAATTCATCCCAGAATGTGGCATTATCAGTGGTTAAATCTTCACCCCTAAAGAAAGACTCATAGATTTGTACAACTTTCTCCTTCAGGTGTCTTTTAGACCCAGAACCACTTCTTTTACGTGTAGCCATATCTTTGATAGGGTGTAACACAATTTTTCACTATTAACCACTCTATAAAGTATGCCAACGATGCTTTATCAATCGACGTTCTGTATCTACAATAAATTAAACCAAATACAAAACATATATTTGGTGGAATACTATTGCTTTTCTTTTAGGGATAAGAATGTGTTGTACGATAATATATGTCGTCAAAATTATCGTTTGCAATATAGCACCTATAACAAATATTTGTTCAGTAAACTCAAAAAATTATAAAGTTTCCGACTTTCCTCCCTCACTTGACACTTTCACTCTTTTGATCATTCATTGACATTTCTGATTATTGAAAAACGTCAACTAAAACAGTGACATTTTGTTTGAGATGCTATTATTATTTATAGGGCATGCGAAGGCAGACTCGTAGCGGTATTCGTAGTCGAATCCTTACAATAGTTTAGTTAGGTTTGTAATCGATTATGAAGACAAGGTGGCAATAAGATCTATTGTGGAAAATAATTGTATCGGAAAATCGATACTGACTCAGCCACGGAATATAGATTCTATATTCCGTTGTTGGTGGTTAAAACCATCATGCAAAACCTAGCGTGTATGGCCTCCTTAAGACAACTAAACTTGGACACCACTAGATAGATACGCCTAGCGCGAGCGTGGTGATTAATTTTCATCACTTCTTAAAGTAGGTAAGTTTAGATAATACTACAGCATTAAGTTTTTTTATATTACAATTCTTTCTAGAATATAATAAGCTCTGAAGATACCCAAGTTATACTTTTCGGGAAACAGAGTTTGGTAAGTGGTAATGAATTGTAATGGTTCTAATAAAAAATATTTAGTGTCCATGTAGCATTTAATTTTTCTTTATTACAATTATTATTTCCATATATTTATTTTAAATTCTCTATAAAATACATTTTTAAATACTACTTACAAAGACAAAAATAATATTTAAAAATATAAAAAATAGGAGCCGACCAGTAGCGGGAGCATGGTCCAAGCTACCGGTGGTTAGGGCTCCAGAGACAGAAACCTCCTCACGATACGTGCCGTTTCAAGAAGAACTGCCTTCTGTATCAGGCCCTTGACCCAACTGCCTAACGCTAGCCTCCTAAGGTGGTTGTCGAGGCTATTAGGGATTAACCCATTGGCCGACACGACTATCGGCACAATGATAGCCGAATCTACATTCCACATGTCGACAACCTCGTGAGCCAAATCAAGATATTTGATTTGTTTATCTTTTTCAGCTTTCACGAGGTTCTCATCATGAGGAATAGTGATATCAATTATCATCGTGCGGCGCACTTGTCGGTCTATCACCACTATATCAGGTTTGTTGGCTATAATAGTCCTGTCAGTGATGATAGACCGGTCCCAGTACAACGTGATATGGTCATTTTCCAGAACTGGGTCGGGCACATACTTGTAGTACGGTACCTCAGACTCAACAAGTCGATAGTGCAAAGCAAGTTGCTGATGGATAATCTTGGCTACTTGATTATGCCTATGCAAATATTCACTGTTAGCCAAACGACCACAACCAGAAATAATATGTCTAATGGATTCACCAGGACTATGACATGCCCGACATATGTCAACCGTCCCATCCTTAATTATATATTTCCGGTAGTTATTCGTAAGGATAACTTCGTCCATAATTGCACAGACAAATCCTTCAGTTTCTCCAAAGAGATTACTGAATCGTAGCCAAGATACGGACGCTAGAAAATCTACACTGGGCCCATGAAGGGCCCGGAAGAAGCGTCCGTGGAGCTCCTTGCTATGCCATACCTCCTTGCGATCATTGACGCTCAGTACCACAGGTTTGCGCCAGTTCTTTTTGCCAAGGATAGCGGAGTGAATCCATTGTCCACCGCTGCTACTTCTCGATGCATACCCTCGTTGACTTTCAGGAAATATTCCCTGAGGTTGCACACCTCACGGTTGTGAAGGGTCTTAGCATTTAATAAGCCTCGACCACCACACTTCCGCGGGATGTACAACCTCATGACCGACGAACGAGGGTGATGCATGCGATTTGCAGTCAGCAGGGTCCGGACTCGTCTATCCAGGTGTCAAGTTCAGTCTGTGTCCACTTGAGTATACCAAAAGAATACATTAGGACTGGCATGACCCAACCGTTAAAGGCTCGCACCTTGTTTCCGCCTGATAAGGAACTTTTAGTACCTTATTCAGGCGGCCAAAGAAGCGCTCCTGTAGCGATTGCTTCATGTCCGGTCCATTAATGCCTAATCCTTCTGACATACCCAGGTACTTGTATGTATCGTTTGCGGAGAGTGATCTCAGTTTTGTGAAATCTGAGAGTTCTAGTCCCTCAGATTCCACAATCCCTCCGCTTTACATGCATGACCGCACACTTGTCTACTCCAAACTCCATTCTGATGGAACTACTAAATTTTTCAGTTATATTCAGTAGTTCCATCAGTTGTTTTTCTTGGAGCAAACAACTTGAGGTCATCCATGTAAAGTAAGTGGGATATAACTAGACCCCTTCTCCGCAAAGGATAGCCTAGCCCTGAATCCTCCAGTAGAGTACTTAGAGGATTCAAGGCCAAGCAGAACCATAGTGGGCTCAGGCTGTCACCCTGGAATATTCCTCGTACTATCCTTACAGGTTCTTCATTCCCTTGGATTTGTCTACATCCCGGATAGCAAAGCACGGTGCTCCACTGCCTCATACATGACTCCAAGAAGGCGCGTAAACTTGCATGTATTTTACAACTCCAGCACCTTCAGGAGCCATGTATGTGGCACAGAATCATATGCTTTTTTATAGTCTATCCAGCATGTAGACAAATCTTTTCGGGACCGACGAACCTGTTGGCTAACAACCATATCAATGAGGAGTAGCTCCTTAGTTCCACGAGACCCCTCCCTACATCCATTTTGAGATACAGACATGATGGAATTTTGTTCAATATGTTTTGTTATTTTTGTCCTCAAAATGGATGTAAGAAGTTTATAGACCGTTGGTAAACATGTGATTGGTCTATAATTTTTGGGCTCAGTGGAACTACCTGATTTATGGAGCAAGTGGGTAACTCCTGTTGTTAGAAATTGTGGTAACGACCCAGTTTCCAAAGCTGCCTGGAAGTGTAATGCTAAGCGAACGTGTGAACTCTTGAGCCATTTAATCCAGAAATTGTGCAGTCCGTCCGGCCCCGGTGATTTCCAATTCGGGACCGAACAGGCTGCACTGGCTACATCAGAGGAGGTGATTACTACCTCCTCCATCTCTGGTATAGTCTCACACCTTCGCTTAACATCAAACATCCAGTCACCTTCTGTGTGGCTGACAGGCACCGACCAGATGTTGCGCCAAAATGTGTTAGTGGCATCATCATCCGGTCGCCTCCCGTCAGCCACATCTTGGTTGGATCGTTCCCAATCTCTGTATACCCACCTCTGATCTCTTTGGAACATGCGATTCTGAGTATAGCGCTCCACTCTTTTTTTGTACCTTCTGATACGGTTTGCCCATGCATAAACTTTCTGCTTCAGGAAGTCGATGCGTTCTGTAACACGTGATAAGTATAAGTATAAGTATAAGTATAAGTATAAGTATAAGTATAAGTATAAGTATAAGTATAAGTATAAGTATAAGTATAAGTATAAGTATAAGTATAAGTATAAGTATAAGTATAAGTATAAGTATAAGTATAAGTATAAGTATAAGTATAAGTATAAGTATAAGTATAAGTATAAGTATAAGTATAAGTATAAGTATAAGTATAAGTATAAGTATAAGTATAAGTATAAGTATAAGTATATAAGTTATTACAATTGTTATTAGAATGTAATAATTCGTCCCACTTTGTAATAAGCAACCTATTAACTCGGGCCTTGAGTACACCCACGTTCTCCCATTATTACCCGCTTCCAGGTAAGAAAATATCGCCTTTGAACTTGAAAATTCTGTGCTATGGGTAATAAAAATACAGATTCACTAGCTTCTAACGGCAGCTTCGCTCGCGTTTCCGTAGGAAACCTATGTGATTTATTATTTATATTGAATTAAAAGAATACGAATACCTACGTCAATGAAAACTACATACGAATCGGATCAGTAGTTCTCATGATGCGTGCACATATACAGACAGGCAGACAACAAATCTAACCACAATTTTGGCTTCTGTAACTATCGAAGTGTTACTACATCGATAGTTATACATATAACCTATATAGATGTGTTAACCCCTGGTAATTATTTTTAATTGTGTATAATGTACCTACAGAATTTTCATTTCATAGTATATATATATATATATATACTAGATTTTGCCCGCGGTTTCACCCGCGTTGCCATGGGATAAAAAGTAGCCTATGTGTTATTCCAGACCAAATTCCTGTTCCAAATTTAATAACTAATAAGTAACAGACATGGACACACAAACTTTCGCATTTATAATACCTATTAGTACCGCCTGGGTGAGGCGGGAGAGAGTGTCAGACTCTTACTGATTAAAAACCACCCCGTTTTTTCTCCTGCACGTCGAGCGAGCCGGAGCCCCGGTAACCCGTTAGTTTCCCGCGACAAGATGAAGACTTGGGAGTAATATAAGATCAATGTGGCAACATCCTTACTAATATTATAAATCGGAAAGTGAGTTTGTTTGTTCCATTTTCACGCCATAACTACTTAACCGATTGCTATGAATTTTTGCAGATGTATAGTTAGAAGTCCGGATTAAATAATAGGGTACTTTTTATCCCGGAAAAATTTTATATTCCCGAGGGAAAACAAAAGTATTGGTATAGATGGCGCTGTATGTATTGGTAATGTCACATTGGCTTTTTATCCTTTTGTGACGCGAGCGAAGCCGCGGGTAAAAGCTAGTAAGTACATAACGCTGAGGTTTGCCAACCTAACAGCGAGAGGTAAGATAACTAAGATATCTGTGAACGCCTGAAGTGAACTAAACTGAATGAAAGAGGATTTCATTAGTTCATTATTCATTCACGCTCCGAGCTGTGTGGTCGTCAGAACAATTTGTTTTTGGTGGTTTTTGGTGTCGTGGTGTCGTTGTGTTTTTTAATAACTCTACCATTTTATTGTAAATTATCTTAAAACTACATAAATAATGAAATCCAAGAAGCGTCATCACACATCCTCTGAGGATTCTGAGGAATCTGATGCAAGTGAAAATAGCAGTTCTTCGGGTAGCGAGAGTGATGATTCTTCAGTGTCGGAACACCGCTACAACAAAAAGAAAAAGAAACGTGCTGAATCTAGTGAATCGGAGAGCGATTCTGAAGACCAGAAACGCTCAAAGAAACGGAAGCATAAGAAAAAGAAGAAGAAGCACAGTAAGAAAAAGAGGCGTTCAGACTCAGTGGAAGAAAGCGGATCGGGCGCCGAAGATGTGTCTTCAGTTAGTGAAGGTGAAATATCTTCCAAGAAGAAACGAAAACATAAACGCAAACATAAAAGACCACGCAGCACTTCCGCCGATGCACAAGGTTAGTTGCTTCTTATTTTGTTTAGTGAATTTTATTGTGTTGTTTTATGAATAATTACGGGCTCCTTTGGTTATATGCAAACGTGTAATGTAATTTATTTCTCAGATGAACAAACACAGCGCCGTTTGCATAGCGTGGTTAAAGAACGTCGTGAGTCTTCAGAAGAAGCAAATCCTCCAATACGGTCATATTATAACCAGTAAGTTGTTGGAGATTCTTATATACTACTTTTAACTAGAGTTATGTATGATAAAACATATTATAATACTTTCTGTATCACTTTTAAGGAAAGAATACCAAAGATCAGTGTCTCCTGAAGATTATGAAAGAGAACGTGAAGTACAACGTTTTTACCGAGGATCCAGCAAGGAAAGGAGGCAACAGTATCAAGAGCAGTACCAACAATATGACAGAGAACACAATGACAGGTAATTTAAGATCTTTTTATTCTAAAAGGATTTGTGTAATACTTCATTACACTACATCATAAAATCATTGCAGATATACACAATATCATCAAGACAAAAATGATAGATATAGAGAGAAATTTGGCCAAAGCTCCCAATATCATGATCCTAATGAAGAACATAATAGACGACAAAGGGATTATGACTATAAAAGGTACATTACAAGTACACATTAATGTTTGCTTGTAGGATACTTAAATGTGCTGGTCGTAGTTGGGGAAACATTTCATTATTATCTAATTCTAATAATGTTTATATTATGTTTAGGAATCACAGATATGAAGACCATAGGTCTCCTAAAGAAGAATATCAAAGGAGACCCAGAGAACATGAGGAGCGCTTCCATCCAAGGGATGATTCTAGAGGTTAGTGTCTAATTGATTATTGAAATTTTAATAGCACATGGGTATTAAAGAAGAATATTTTCTTATTGGTTTGGAAAAATATAAACCACATTATTTCATTAAATAATATTATCTAATGTGGTTATTTGATTTTTATTGAATTTTTGTTATTCCAAAATGAATGTTTTCTTATGGATATTGCTTTGTTTTAGGGTTAAACCGTTTTAATCAGTTTGAAGAGCGCGGAGGCCCAAAAAGGCGGGAGTATGAAGATAGAAGAGATTATCGTGAAAGGTATGCTTTGTTTATTCATTTATGTTATGTGTCAGATTAAAAATATATATTTTTAAGTGTTGTTTCATTGTAATTGTAATTTTAGGGCTCTCCACATTAAATGTTACTACTTGTTAATTTAACTAAACCTAAAACTAATCTTGTTACTAGGCGAGGTCCACCAGACAACGACCGCTACCGCGAGAGGGACTATCCAGACAGGAAGGAGAGGTTCCATGAAGATGGATTTGTTTCTGAAAGGTATGTAACAATATGTTCCTTACTGCTAATTACAATTAAATTGACACTGAGAAGGTTTACCATAGTTGGTAATTGGTTTTAAAAACGATTATTTATCTATTTAAAACATTATCACACATATAGTACAGTGTTATTGCATGCGTGTGCTGGTCACAACTGGCCAGTAACAGTGTACCTGCAACGTTAAATAACTATATTTATTTTTACAGTGTCCACTCTACAGAAAAATATAGTGATCAGAGCATGTCGGTGTTGCAAAGATATTTTAATATTTGCACCTTAAATGATACTTGCAATAGGCATGTGTGAGACAATGAATTGTTATAGATTTACTGGAATGCTTATTAGCAGAGGATTATTGTTTTCATTTTCAAATAAGCACTGAAATGCTTTCTACGAGGGATTCCAACACATACTATACTCAGCAAACAGTGAATTACTATTAATGTAAAAGATACTCAGAATGAGATAAGAACAGAAAAGTATGGAGCTGAAGTATGTTGCTGTCATGGAACTCAAAATGAGGAACAATACAAATTACAACTACCTGGACAACTATAGTACATTAGAATTGAGAAGATGAAATGATTTAGACATTCAATGAACTGTTAATTTGTAATGACTATAGTTTTATACTCACAGGAAATAATCAATATGGAAAAATATTAGAATGATGGACATTTGGACTTTAATTTGTTTGTTCATTCAGATAAGGAGGTACTTAATTTGTTGATTAGTTCTCAAAATGAGATTGATATTTAGAGACAAAGGACAATATTACAATGTCTATTGAATAGTACTTTTGTCAAGGATTGTTTGGAACTGCACTTGGAGTAGCTGGAACTGCAAGACAGCTTTATTGCCATTTATGTAGTTTTGAAAACTGTTTTACCCGTGGATCACTATGGATCGCACCACAATCATCATTCTTTAGAAATATTTAACACAGAAAATATATTTCCAGCGATTTTAAAAACTGATGAGAGATTTTTTATTGCATTGATAAAATAAAAACGCTTATATGAAGCTTTAAAAAGAATGCCTAGATTGGCAAAATGAAGAAAAACTAAAAGAGACTTCAATGGCAAATTGGCAAGAACACCAAAAACTTCAAGAAATATGGACAAATACTATATTATTTTAACATCACATTTTAAAAGAAAATTAACTGATTTGTGTCAGATTCTAAGGAAAAGATAGCTTAATTTACGGCCTCGCGCATTTTTTGCGCTACTGTGACGAAATAAAAGAATGCCTTTGTGATATTGAGTCTTGGCTTAGTTGAGATGAGATCTATTTGGTTAAGATCATCATAAATTACTCAAAACATGAGGAGATAACAAAAGGTCGAACACAGTAGGTATGCTCGTGACACAACATTGCGTTTCAAAAGTAATGGTAAGTGTACGATTTAAAGGAGTGTCAAACATAATTGGTTCTTCGTGTTGAAGATTATATTGTTTTGTTACACAAAAATACTAACGAAAATATGCCAATAGCATAATATTCAATACTTTGAAAAGTATAGTTTCGATATATTTGTCTTTTGAATTTTGCTATACAAAAACACCTATATATTTATTGTACAATTGAGGCTTGAATGTCACAAGAAATTGAATACCTAAGCTACAAAAATATGAATACAAAATATTTTTGTTGTACAGGATAGGGCACTTAAATTGAATAATAAATTCACAATATATTTATTATTATTTTTGTTGTATTTTTGTTAAAGCTTGAAGTAATTTCATTGTTTGGTGCACCCAATTGCAGACCAAGTGTTTTGTATATCTGTGTTAGGAAACGATAATGCAGTTGATCATGTTCGATGTTTATCAATTACAGGACACGTGAAGTTCGTCGTGAGAAGGTGATGGGAACAGCTGGCAGACCCGACAAGCCTGCGTCGCACAGGTCACTATTTTTTTCAAGCATAAACAACATCATTAATACAATGATTTCGAAATATAATCAACACTCTTAATAGTTAGACAAAAAATTCCACTCTTTTAACTTACATACACATAAACATGAATATTAATAAAATCTGGATTTTCAGGGATCGTTCCAGATCACGAAGTCAAGAAGATCGTTTTAAGGATCGCGGGCGTCGACCAGAGAGACCAGAAGCGAGAGAAGATAGGTTCAGAGACGGGCGTGCTGACGAGAGAAGAGATGGACGCGGTGACGAAAGGCGGGATGGCCGAGGAGACGAGAGAAGAGAAGGTCGGGGTGAAGACAGAAGAGATGGACGCGGAGAAGAAAGAAGGGACGCGCGGCCTGATGAACGGAGAGACCGAGGTGATGACAGGAGAGACCGGCCTGGGCGAAATGAAGATCGGAATGCCGACCGCGGCCGACCTCCAATCAAAACAGAGCCCAAATCACGTGATCGCAAATCCAGGTTTGTTAAACCGTCGTTACAGAATGTAATTGATTTAAATGCTCTCTTATTGTGATTTGCTTTTTGTGAGTTTCTTTATTTTGATGTAGACTTACCTAACGTGGTATTAACTTTTATCATAAATGTCTACAGATTCGCCGATGCGGATGACAACAAGGAATACGACTGGGGTAAAGCAGACGTTAATAAAGAGGATGGCAAGACTTCAGCAGATAAGGAAAAGCCTAACTTTGGTTTGTCTGGTAAACTGACGGCCGACGCCAATACGGTCAATGGAGTTGTCATCAAGTACACCGAACCTGATGATGCTAAGCAGCCTAAGAGGAGATGGAGGTAAATACATATAATTTTTTACTGAGGAATAATTGTGCACATTTTAGATGAAATATTGACATTTGAAATATACTTTTCTCTATTTATATTTTAAGTTAGGTATGTAGTTGTAATAGGGGCGAGCCAGGTGATAGACTCCGAGCCGTACTGCAAATTTTATAAAACTGAGGAATGAGGCAGTTAGGCATGACATGTGTTAATATTTATACCGATATTTTTAATTACCAATTACAAAAAGTTACAATTATCATTCCTTATTTTCAGATTCTATCCCTTCAAAGGAGATAAAGCATTGCCTATCCTGTACATACACCGTCAGTCAGCGTTCCTGATCGGGCGAGACAAGAAAGTGGTGGACATCGCATTGGAGCACCCTTCCATTAGCAAGCAACACGCCGCGCTACAGTACCGCGCCACGCCATTCACGAGACCCGACGGCACGCAAGGACGCAGGGTTAGACCTTACGTTATAGATTTAGGTAAGTTTCAGTTTACTGTGCACTCTGCAGTCACTATTTATAACATATCGTAATGATTCGAGTACTAATCTTTATTTATGTTTTCAGAGTCTGCAAACGGTACTTTCGTAAATAATAAGAAAATCGAAGCCCGTCGGTATGTGGAACTACTTGAGCGTGACGTAGTGAAGTTTGGGTTCTCCCAAAGGGAGTACGTGCTTCTACATGAGAACAGCAAGGACGACGCACAGGACGACGACCACCACGACCCACCCGCTATTGGTGGCAATGTCACCACCACCGAACAGTTGAAACACGAGAAACGGATGAAGCAAGAAATTGCCGAAGACGGCGAATAGATAAGTCTAGTTATGTATTACTACATAGAAGTTATAATATTTAGTTAGTAGTTAAGAAAGTTATATTTTATTTTTATTAAATTAGATATAATTTCGTTTGTAGTTTTAATCTCCACGAAAGCAATATTATTTCGAGGATATTGACATCTTAATGTTATTGACTACCTCGATTTATTCACAGAATTAGCAATGTAATATAATTTTGTCTTACTTTACCCGTGTAACGCGTCTGTCTTATTCTTTCTTTCTAAATAATCATTATGTTTTTCAAATTATACAAAATATCAATGATATTTACTTAGTATATAATACTTCTTGGATTTAGTATCAGCATAATAATTATCCTATTTATTAGATGTTTTTCAAATTCGTCATTAACTACCACACTTGTCAAAAGAAATATAGATTTATGGCGATCGTGCGTCACCGTTTGATACACAGTTTTCTTTAACGATGGAATGAAGTAGTTTGTTATTGTGCTGAGTTTAAAGCTCCAAGTTTGTGATCTATAATACCTAAAGGTACAGAGAAAATGAGCGTAAATGAAACAAGGGGGCAATAACGTTGTGAGACTTAATAGTTGTTATTTAGCTAATTTTTAAATAAGTGGGTGAGCCTTTTTGGTAATGTATGTCACCTTATTTGCTTTTTGTTTATACAGCAAATAGTTCTATGTAAGGAAACATTTATTAAGCATTGTACATTTCGATATCCCATTGTTATGTAATTAGTCGACTAAAAAGTACATAGCATTTTAGTGCACTAAACATACCAAAATCTATAACACACTTAGGTACTACATTTTTGTAGAATTTATCTAAATCTATTTCAATTATTTGAAATCCACTTATTTTTGTTCGAAGTGAAAATAACTTAAGCTAATAAATTAATCGTATTGTATATCAAATAAAAATATTAATAGGTATATACTTGTTTTAATGTTACCCTTCTCGTAGTTTCTATTATCTATAAAAGAGAAATAAAAATTCACAGTACCAGGCGATATATTTAATTTGTTGGCTTTTATTAAATGCATTTATTATGTTGTCTTGTGATGTGTTCTAAAGATACTTAATCGCAACACGGTAGATTATTTACACTAATATTTACAACGAATTTATTCATCTCTATTTACAAACTGTACTCTAGACAAAATAAATAATATTAAATATTCACTTAATTCTAAAACAGTATCCTCATTCGGTGGAAAATTTACATATCATTATTGCATAATTTATTTTTTCTAATATCACAGTTCAAAATGGAGTCTTGAATACGTGTTTATCAAAGTCTAAGTCAACTCGCGGCTGTTCCCGAGACGAAGTGGGGCGTGGCTCCCGGGCACGGATCTCCTCGCATAGCGAGGCGCGCTTGACCAGCCCGTTCCTCAATGGAATGATCGTGGCGTTCGGCGGCCGAGACTGGGTCCGCAGGGAATGTGTTCTGTACAAGGGAGGCTTGATCAGTCTGTTCGGGGCTACGCCCACGATGCTGTGTCTAGAGAACGCAGGCATGTACGTGATTGGTGCTCTCGGTATCTCGTAACCATCACATATAGTGCCCTGAGCAGAGTCGCTGTCGTACATAAGTTCTAAGTATTTCGGGGTTCGCTCTGGAAGTAGTCGTGAGGGCTCCATGTGGTCCGGGAAATCTTCATCTGTAATATTTTGGAAGTAATGAATTGTTAGAGATATAAGAAGAAATTAAAACTTGGTAATGTCATTCAGTGATTGTTATCACGAACCTAAGCAGGCGTTGTCATTCTCGTCCAATAGGTAGGTGCGGTTGTCGACGGCATCTGAACATGCAGCCCATGCACAATACATCGGTTAGTTTGGTTTACATGAAATGAAGACATTTTTCTTATTAAGTACAATATCCACTGTATAAAAGAACCACTTTTAATTTTCAGGACATGCTGATTGTGGATGTATTTAGCTTTATGATTATTGTGCTAACATAATGAGTCATTATGAAGAAATAATGCATTGTTTTCGGAGTAACTAATTTCCAAGAATATTCTTTCACTTCATAACAATACTTGTTATGTCACCTACAACAGGAACTTTAACAACGACATTATTTGAAGTCGTTCTGCTATGAAGTTTGTTGCTACATGCGATCATTAATAAATGGTAGCTGCTGGAGTAGCAATGCATGCCGAGCGAAGAGAGTGAGTGTATATTACCGTCGGGCAGTAGGGTGAGATAGTGCGGCGCGGGGCTGGGCGTGGCGGTGAGCGTGATGTTGGGCGAGGTCTTGTCGCGCAGCGCCGTCACCACCTGCAAGCACTGGCGGAACGACGGCCGCGCCTCCGCTGCGTAGCTCCAGCACTTCTGCAGCAACTCGTACCTGACACAAACATACAATCGCTCATTAATCAGTTTTTAGATCGGTACATTTCAAGAACACACTGGAAAAATTCTTGTAGTTTTTGTACCTCTATTATATTAGATTTAGCCAAAAAAGAATTGGACAGATAGGGTTCAAATAATACTTTCAAAATCTTTGAAGTAAGTCTTATTTATAAATCAGTGTTGATTTGTCTTCTGATAGAATATAAATATAATCTTTGGAAAACCTACTTACAGGTAACCAACTTTTGTTCTCGAGACGAGGTTACTTACAATGCAGAAGGACAGTTGGGTGGTCTATCAGGCGTGCCACCGCTTCGGACGTATGACAGCACTTGTCGGTTAGTGCAGGCAGGATATGGTTGTTGACCCAATGATAATATCTAGAAACAAATCGAAACATAATAATAAAAACACAAGAAAAAACAGTAAATACTAATGTTTAGTACCTACAAGACTATCATAAATAGCTGTCAGACTTTCATTGGCATTACTTTTTTTTTTCGTAGTGTGTCTTACCTCCCAACAAAGTACTCCCCACGCCCAGACGTCGGACTGACAAGAGAACACTCCATCCACTAAGCACTCCACTGCCATCCAACGCACTGGCAGCAATCCTGTTGGTATGAATCAGGTTAGAATATCAAAAATACAGTTATATGTACTTGAGACTTGTAGCGTAATCATTTTTAGAAAGTGTTTTCGCTGTTACTACCCGTATATGATGGGGATCAGGCTACAGATATTTTTTACACTTCTTTATAAAACATACATTGGCGGACAATGCCTTTCTTTGTTTTACGGAACAGGACAATACGCCTCCTTTTTTTTAAGGGGGGAAAATCATCGAATGACTGCTCCCGCCTGGGTGAGGCGGAAGGGAGTGTCAGACTCTTACTGACTAAAAACCACCCCGTTCCTTCTCCTGCACGTCGAGCCGGAGCCCCGGTTACCCGTTAGGTTCTCCGCGACAATACGCCTCCTTGTGACTACAGCAGTAAAAATTGTGTAAACATATTACCTTCCCCTTCCTTCCTGTAGTAATCATTCTTGTAGATATCTCTGGCTAATCCAAAGTCACCAATCTTAACAACTCGTCCGTTAGCTCGGTGGGCTACGAGGCAGTTTCGACACGCAAGGTCGCGGTGGACGAAGTGCATCTCTTCTAAGTAGCGACATCCTTTCGTTACGTCCACACACATGTTCAAGAGGTCCAATAGCGTTAGAGATTCAGGGGTGTACTGTAAAAAGAAGTTATTTATTAACTCCACGATGTTCCGCCGTCAAGTTCAGGCTAAAAGTGTATCACTTTCTACTTACAAGTGAAGCGCGCTTAGCCCTCAAATAACTCAGTAAGTCACCTCCCTCCATAAGTTCCATTATTATGTAATTGGGGTCATTGTCGAGGCATACTCCCAAAAGACGTAGAATATGTTCATGTTTGAAATTCGACATCAAGGCAGCTTCTTTTAGGAATTCAGTCTTTTCTTGTTCTGTTGCACTCTTGCGTAATGTCTGTAAGACAACAATAATAAGATTTCTTTTCTCTGGTACAGCCTCTACGATTTTCCAATGATGATAATAGTATAGATCATAGGTCAAGGGGTTACTTACCTTAACAGCCACTTTAGTGTCAGCAGTACTACCATTAAGTTGCCTGGCTACTCCTTCGAATACTTCTCCAAATGCTCCTGAACCCAGGAACTTGGTCAAAGTTATCTGTTCACGGCGAATATGGGGCAAGCTGGCCAGTTCTGCGTCCGTTGGGCAATGCACACCCTAGAGTGAAGTTAATATTATTACTCCATTTCATGTGTCAAGTCAAGTGCCATATTTAAGTGTGATAAAAACTGCAATACTTCAATAATATATGTGCTATGAATGATTAATTTGCCTGCTTACCTGATTGTAAAGGATATTTGTGGAATGTCTGGTAGGCAACTGTCTCAATGTTGCAAGTTCGACGTCCGGTCCTCTTCTTGTAGGATTCGTTGTAATTTGATTTGCAACAGCCGCTTTCTTCCGAGCGCGGGCGTTGTATGCTGCTAATATTGGTTTCAAGGAATTAGTTAAATAATGGTATCATATGTTAAATTAATAAAGTTACATAGACTATCTATTTGAAAAGTGTATGGCATAAACGGGAATGTATGAAAAATATTCAGCTCTACTGGACTGCATTAACTAACTCTTCGACTGGTGTTGAATGGTAAACTTCTTAGTTTGATTAATTGATAGAGTAGGGAGTTTCTCTAGAGTAAAGAGTGGTAGCAGAATTGTTGAGTCGGTAGCGACGTCCATAGAGTTTTGAAAGACCATTTGTTTTACCGTAGAAGACGGCGGCGGCGACGGCGAGTAACGCGGCGAGCGCGGCCAGTAAGGCCAGCGCCAGTGCGGCGGCGGGCGGGCGGTGCGGCGCGGCGGCGGCGGCGTCCAGCTCGGCGGCCGGCGACAGCGCGCCCCAGCCGTACGCATTGCGCGCCTGCACCCGCGCCACCCAGCCCACGCCCGCGCCCTCAGAACTCAGCAACCAGAACGTTTCTGCACAAGTAATGCAAATCGCCTCATTGTTACATTTGAATACGTCATAATCATAATATAATTAAGCATATTATGCGCCTCTGTCTAATAAAGGATCACAGTCAA